GATCATCTGTGTTTCTTGCACACATGCACACACCCCAGCATCTTTCACTCTTCACCTGCTTCTTACTTAATGGAAAGGAGGTCAGTGGCCTAGCCAGGGGTGCCCCTTCCCCACTGTGGGCACTGGAGATGAACCAGGAGGATGGGGGGAGGGCAGTCCCCTACCATTTCCTCTTGAGTCTCTGTGGTAATGATTTGCCTTTTCTTGCCTCAACAAGGCTTGACTTCAGGCTACATCTGACTAGCCCAAATTCGGTTTTCTTTGCCTGTTTGTTGTTCCAGAGAGTGCCCTCCGCCCTTGGCTGTGCCTTGACCAAGGATTGCTAGACTTCGGGGAGGGGCAACCCAGTGCACCAGCTGACTTAGCATCTGGCTAAGTGTGTCATCCCTTAGAGTCCGGATGATTCTGTGTCTCCCCGGGGCCTGCTGGGAAGGAGGGGATTAGGGAGGGAGGTGGTGGCAGCTGGTCTCAGAGCTCCCCTGGATCACTCAACCAGTTGACTTAAGCCATTGGGACCCCCTTGTGGCTTCACACTGATTATCTCTGGGACAGGCATCTATGAAAGCCAGCATGGAGCCAAAGGCAGCCTTTTCTAGAACACTTTGCAGTGCACCCCACGGTTTTAATCTTGGGAGCAGCCCCAAGAGCAGATGGACTCCTTACTGCCCTCAGTTGACAGCTGAAGGAATTCCCACACTAGTCTGGTAACTTGCCCAAGGGCACATGGGGAATGTATCATTAAGATTAGTATTCCTCAACACACACTGCTCTCAACAAGGAAATGTTTGCTATTCTGCTGAGTTGGAAGACCTGTGAAGTCACCCAGTCCCTGACTCCTTCCAGCTTCCTGCTCTGTCTTCTCTAGCATACAGTTCTGTCCTCATGCTCATAAGATGGCTGCCGACTTCCAACCATCTCATTCATATTCCAGGAAGGAAGCAGGCAGAGGGGTGAAAGGAAAAAAAAAAATCAAAAGGCCAAGTTTGACCCTTAAAAAAAAAAAAAATACTCTTCTCAAAACTCTGCTGACATCTCATGAGCCAGAAATGAGTCTCTGGACCACCCTCCGCGCCCATCCGGCTACAAGGCAGATGGGGGAAGGGAGAATTTTATCAGGCACATTGTTGGGAATTCTGTCCTAAAGGGAGAGTAACAGATGTGTGAGAGGCCAGCCCACATAGTCAGCCATAGTTTATAAAGCTCTGAAGCCAGGATTGGCAGCTGAAATGAAATCTTGAAGGAATACTTAGTGGTAAGTGCTGTTTCCAGCACCTGCAGCCTTCTAAGCCGTGTAGACAGTAGGAAGAGGATAGGTGCCGTTTCGCCACTTACTAGCTTACAGGTGGTATGGACTCTGTGAATCTTGGTGCCCTTTTGGGGCCAGACCTGGTCTGTGGCAGAGCTGGCCTCTCTCTCTCTGGGAGTTGGCTGTCAGGTGGGAGGTGGTGATCAAACAGATACTTGCCCCATAGTGGGCACTGCAGATAAAACAACCAGTACACGGTGAAGGGGCCAGCCCAGTGCAGTGATGTTTGTGCTGAGGCTCTTCCGAGTGGGACACCTGCCAGCCTACGGCAGTGTGGAGGCAGGTGCACGTCCTGGGAAGGATGGACGGAGCCAGTGTCATGCCTCTGTTCCACGTGCCAGCGTACCCCAGCACCTTGTCTGTGGATGGCACGTCCCTGGAGATGCTGGGGCCGTAGAAGGCCGTCTACAGTCACTTGGGGGGGGCTGACTTAGAGTCACAGTGCACCTTCTGTCTTAAAGGTTTCTTTTCTTCGTGTACCGTCTGGCACCGAGAGTAAACAGGTGTCAGAGAGCACACAGAGTCTAGGGTTTTGGACTTGGAACAGCCTCAAATTCTGTTCCAGCTGTGTGACCTCGGGTAGATCACTTGCCCTCTCTTGGCCTATCTCTTCTGTAAAGAGGACAGCTGTTACCTGGTGGGGCTGCATGCATTCGGGGAGAAGACTTGAAACAAATGCTCGAGGCAGGGCCAGAATCGAGTAGGAGGCCTGATTTGGTGAGTATTTCCGCCATATTGCCACCTCCTCTGTACCTTGAGAGAGTGGCTTTCTAGGCTTTTCCAGAGGAGGTGAGAGAGGAAAACTGTACAGCTTGGGTTTTTCTCTGTTGCTTGCTTTTGGCTGGGTCAGACCCCTATGCAGAGGCATCTCGAAGATCTGGCTCTGAACCAGAGAAGGGCGGAGGTGGGAGATCTGGCTGGTGGAGGAATTCCAGCCAATGTCGTAGCCAGAGAGAGGACCCTTGGCAATCCCAGAACAGGGGACGTCCTCTCTCAGGCAAGGGGCCATGAAGTGCATGGGACACGACGTTTCTTGGTGCCCTCTCTGTGGGAGAATGTGGGGATGTGAGGTAGGTTCCTTCCTACAGGATACGGCATAGTGATTCATCGCCCTGGAGACAGGAGGACAGAATGTTCTTTGGGTCTAAAGAGGACAAAGCATGTGTTTGTGTTTTAATTCCTCCATCCATCTCAGGTGCAGTCTTGGTTTTGGCCAGTGCAGAGAGAGCACCAGGGCTGGCTTAGAATCGTGTGCGTGCGTGCGCACGTGTGTGTGTGTGTGTGTGTGCGCGCGTGCGCTTCTGTGACTTAAGGAATGGGACTCGCACAAGAAATATCACATCTGTCTTTTCTCCTCCTACTGCCTGAGTGCCTTTGCTGTATTGCTTCCACTTTCTGAGACTGGCTGCCTTATCCTTCCAGAAGAGGCGAGCCGTGACGAATGCTTCTGGCTGCGCAGAGGTCCAGGCTAGTGGTGAGACAGCGTGGGCCACGGCCACCACCCTTGGGTGGTTCCTCTCGAGGATGAAACCTTCATGCTCCATGGGGCTCATGCAGTCCTGGGAGGTACTGCACTTGTCCTGGGAGATTTCGTGCCAATCCTGGAGTTCGCAAGTGGGAGTAGGAGCTCTCTAAGAAGCTCAGAGCCAATTACGGGACAGAGGGGAGCCTGAACCCAGAGTAGTTAGTGGAGTTTCTAGAGAAAGATCATTTATTCTCAGGTCTTAATGCAATAGTTCCTGACTGTCTGCTGGGGGCGTGGACTGTGTGCCAGGCCTGGGGACAGAATAGTAAGCCAGGCAGGGCTGCCCCTCGCTTTCTGGACACCTTTAGTTCTGGTTACAGGGAGGTATAATTTTAAGGCCTCCACAGAGATGAGTCAACATCAGCCACGCATCCCCACCCCAGGGGGCTGTCAGGGACATCCTTGGTGCCTGCCAGGGCTGGGCATCCTGTATCTGCCACTAAGTGGTACCCAGGCACTGCATTAAACACCTCGTTACCGTGTCCCAAGGACCCCTTTTCCTCCTGGCACTGTTTCATACCCCAAGGTGACCACCTCCCTTGAGGATCCCAGGGTGAGGTGGTTTGCTCCTGTCCTCCGGCTAGGGACCCAGGGCTCAGAAGCATCGGGGAAGGGTAGGACCCAGATTTGAACCCTGATGACCTCAGGCTGGCAGGGATGCTGCTTGGCCTGGCCTATTTTTAGAGGGCGCCGTGTGGGTCAGCTGGGGAGACAATGGAGAATGTGACCCTCTCAATGAACCATTGTCCCCGATTGGCTTCAGGGCCAGGGACGGGCCCAGCAGATGACTGTGGCCCCCACTGGGGGCCAGGCTGTTGCTCCCTCGTCTGTGGATTTTTCCAGTGCTTGTAGAGGCAGGAGCGGAGTGCCGGGCACCGATGGGAAGAGAGACCGTGGACTCGGTGTTTGAGGGACTGACTGCCGTTGTTGGGGTGATGAGGGAGGTGGCTCAGGAGGACCCTTGTGATGGGGATGGACCTGGGACTGACAGGGAGCAGGCTTCCCCTCCATGCTGTGGTCTCTGTGGGCCCATCAGCGTCACCTGGTGAGCACTCATACTCGGTGAGGTTCCAGCATTCTCCCTATGTCACAGGTGTGAGGGCAGCCTGGGAAGGCCCCCTCCAGTACCCAGAATCCCCCAGCTTGCTTTAGGGGTCCTCGGAGCGAGGGCTGGAAGCACCTGCAATGCTTGCTTGGGATGGGGAGTGGAGTGGCTTCTTGCTACATGCATGGATAGCGCGCTGCCCTGTTCTGGCGGGAGAGCCTGAGAATTGGGGTGTATTTCTTGATTTGTTAGCCAGTTTCTCACAGGTCTGGGATGGAGGGGCTGTGGGCACAGTACCTCCTGCCGTGTTCTGTCCTGCAGGCCTCCTGGCATCCCCGGAGCTGCCAGGTCCTAGGTCTACTCGCAGGGTACAGCCTGGGGGAAGGGCAGCTTGCCCAGCTCCATGAGGCTCCTAACTGGGGCATCTGGCCCGTTTCTTCTTGTCCATGTGGGGTGGACCCTGACCTGCTCTTTCCTGCCTTTCATCAGCAGTCAAGATGGTTCACGTTTAGGTTGGTTTTGGGAGCAGGTTAGATGGCATCTGGAATGTTCTCTCCTTGGTGAATAAAGGTCAAGGGCTGACCTGAGGTGGCCTCCTGAGGCATGAATGTGGTTTGACTCTTCAGGCTTCTCAGAGTGTGAGGGCGTAAGAAGCCTGTGGGGAATGTTGAGGGTGACCCTGTGGTGGGTCCTGAGTGTGATTCTGGGCAGCTGCCTTGGTTTCCCCGATCCAGACTGTCACCATCCACCATGGGAGCAGATAGTCTAGGAAGCTCAGGCTTTGATGACCTCCGTTTTCCAGGTGGAGAAAACCAGGTCCAGTGCAGAGAGGGGCTGGGGCTGGTGCCTTTCCCACATTTTGGGCGGTTAATGTCACCGTCCGAACCAGGACTCTTTCCTCTGCCTCCCAGCTTAGTTCCCCTTCCCTCCCTGGCTCTTGGAGCAGTTTCTCTGGCTGGAGAGATCTGCTGCCCCAAGACCAGAGCTCTGCTGACCAAATGAGAAACATACGTGGAGCTTCCTCAAAACACAGTTGGAAACTGGACGCATGCAGTCAGCGGTCGCAGCCGCAGCAACTCTGAGAAGCCCACATCACAGACCCCTCTATCTCTGTCTTTCCTCAGGAGCAGGACATAGAGACGGTGCATGGCTCCATTCACGTCACGCTGTGTGGGACCCCCAAGGGAAACCGGCCCGTCATCCTCACGTACCATGACATTGGCATGAACCGTAAGTTCCCGGGAGCCTCAGTTCCCACTGGGGATGGGGAGGAGGACAGCTAGGAAGAGCTGGTGGTGGGAGGGCCAGCTGTTCTCTTTTGCTGACACTTCCTGGAGCGGTTGTGAGAAGAGAACTTGCCACAGTCTGGAAGAGCCTGGAATGCACGACGCAGGGCACAATAATGTCTTTGTGCCTGGGTGTGCTGGGAACTCGGGGCCCTCCACTGTCTGTGGGTGACAGTGACTTCTTTTGATCAGTGTGTACAGTTGTTTTTATGATTTTGACCGAGTTGTACAACCATCAGCACAGGCCATTTAAGAACATTTTTTTACCACTCTGAAAACTTTGTTCCCACAATCTCCCGAACCCCCAGCCCCCGGCCACCTCTGGTCTACTTTCTATCTCTAAGGGCGTGTGTATCCGGGGCATTCATTATAAACGGAATCCTGCCACACGGGGTCTTCTGTGGCTGGCTTCTTTCATAATGGTTTCCGTCCATCCACATGTCCACATGTCCCCTGTGTGATGTCCTTCCTTCCTTGTTCCTGAATTATACTCCATTGTGTGCATAGACCACGCTTCATATTTCCGTCCTTCTGTCGATGAACACTTGGGTGGTTTTGCTTTTTGGCTATTCCAAATGAGGCTGCCATGAATGTTTACGCTGTATTCTTGAGATTCCCAGGAAGTGTTACCATATGTGGGTTCCCCATTTTTCACAGACGGTAAAGCGGTAAGATCTGCTGAATGTTAAAATCCTGCAGGATAGAAGCGAATCTTTCCGTGGCGATTGAGAAGCCACTGACAGCCTGCACGTCCAGGCACCTCTGTAATCCTGAGTATCGCAAGCTGGGTGATTGTGTGATCGGTGATTGACAGCCTGCCTGGCTTGCATGTTTTTCCTCCAGCTTCTTAGTACCTTGAGGCAATGATGTCAGTCACTGAAAACCATTTTCCTTCATCTTCCCTTCTCCTATATCCCTCTTCCTCTCTGTGCCTGCCCTTGGATCCATTAGCTACCATGCTAGGTCCTTGGATATCTGTTATCTTATTTTTCCAGACTCTGGTAAGGGGTGGAATTGCCTGTGGCTGTTACCCCTGTGGTGGAGGCTCACTGTTTTAGTAAGCCAGTTGCAGAAACAGAAGCCCCCAAGATCTCTGTGGCTGTACACAATACACATTTGTCTCTCCCTCCTGTAATGCCTCTGGGCATTCTGTGGGACACCTTTCGCTTGGTGATTCCAGAATGTAGGTTCCTGCCAGCTGTGGCTCCTCCGTCCCCTGGGTCCTCAGAGCCTTCTGCATTTGGCAGATGGCAGCAGGGAGAGAAACCTAGAAGAATGGGTGGCAGGTATTAACAAGAAACCGCGAGCTTCAGGAGCTATTGGCTAGAATCCGGTCACATGGCTGCCTCTCATTGCAAAGGATTCTGGGAAATGTAGTCCCACTGAGTGCCCAGGAAGAAAAGGGGGTGGATGGGTGAACAGCTGGCCGTCTTTCTTTGTCTCAAGCACTCAGCAGTTGGGAGACTCCCCCAAGGCCACATAAGAAGTGAGAGCGTTCATGCTTTACCTCCTGTGCCCTCCTTGGTTGAGAGTCATGTGCCCTGGCCATTACTTCCAATGTGGGGGTTCCAGAAACCCAGACAGAAAGAGGGCATGAGTGCAGCAAGGTCCACCGCAGCCCAGCTGATGAGGGGTGATGCTGGAGCCAGGACGGGAGTCTCCTCGCAGCACCAGCTCCATCCACGTTTGGGCTTCAGCCGCTGGAGTATGCAGTGGAGCCTACCCACCCTTTGCACCACCACCAGGCCCGCTTGCTTGCCTTTTAGCACCAGAGGCAAGTGGGAGGGGACAAGAAGGTTGGCATTCTTTCTTTTGCGTTCATTCCTCCCCTGCATGGGAGTGCGAACAGCAAAAGGCCATTACATGCCACCAAGCACCCAGATGTATTCTGTCCTTACTCCTTCCTCTTCTCTCGCCCCTGCCTGTTCTGCAGACAAAACCTGCTACAACCCCCTGTTCAACTCTGAGGACATGCAGGAGATCACGCAGCACTTTGCCGTCTGCCACGTGGACGCCCCTGGCCAGCAGGACGGCGCTGCCTCCTTCCCTGTGGGGTAAGACCTAGAACCCCGTGCCCCTAAAGGGGTACAGAAAATTTGAGCAGGGGGCGGGGGAGGCGTCACACTGGGTCTCTGTTTTATGGTGGTAAGGTATATATAACCCAAGATTCACGCTTGGAACCATTCTTGAGCGCAGTAGTGTCCCATGCATTCGCACTGTAGTGCAGCCGTCCTCACTGCCTGTCGCCAGGACTTTTTCAGCCTCCTAAACTGAAACGCTGTCCCTGCTAAGCACTAACTCCTTGCCCCCCACCACCCCGACCCCCACTCTCACCCACCCAAGGAGCTAGCTTTTTAATAGGTGTGCATGACAGGCACAGGATCGAGCGGAGAAGACTTTCACAAGAAAAACAGTTCAGAGAGTTCTAGAAAGGTGGGAAGAAAAAGAGAGGGAACAATAGAAAATAATCTTGATGAAGTACTTCCTGTGGTCCAGGCTTAGGTTTTTTTTCTTTTTCCTACAAGTCCTACAGCTTGTTTAACTGCGGGAATTGGAGACTCTGCTGACTTGAAGGATCATGTTCTCCTTAGAACATCAGGGTCTCTTGTCCCAGGGATTTAGCTGCCTGCTTCTCCTCAGTGTGCAGCCAACGTGGGCTTCTGGTTTCTGCTGCGAGGCTGAGACAGGCTTCCTGAGTGCCCGGGACCATCAGTGTCCCCTGGAGGGAGGCAGACCTCTTGGAGGCTGTCATTAACCCAGGGTGCAGCAGGCTCAGGGGTTTCGAGTCTCCCAGAAGGGGCCTTCTTGACATTCACAGATAGCTTCCTCTCCTCTCCTCCCCTCTTCTCCCCTCTCCTCTCTTCTCTTTTCTAATTGGTGTTCAGAATTATCCTTGATAATTAACCTTTGTCAGAGCCCGGGAAGGATACCAGCACATGGGGCCACGACCAAAAATGTAAAGCTTCCTAGTACAGTGGGACCCTGTTATCTGTTCACTAGCAGATTAAGCCAAAGGTCTGTCAGCAAATCCATCCTTGTTGAGAGCAAGTGTTTGAAAGACTTGCGGTAATGCAGTGGCTCTTAGCTCCCCATAGGAGGATTTAAAAAAAAAAATGTCCTGAGCTTTGAGCCCCACCCTGTGGAGTTTTTATTAAGTTGACCTGGAGGCCAAGGTTCAGGGTGTTTGCCCCCCATCCCCGGGTCAGCAGGTGATTTTAGTGTGTGGCTGGTGGCAGCCATGGCCTGAAGAGGCCATGCCTTATTTCTGCCTCCTGTAGTTGGGGGTCTCCTGCACCCTCTGGGGTATGCTCCCTCTCTCCCGAGGCTGAGGCAGCAAAGCAGGGTTGGGGACCCCAGCTCTGGAGTCAACTTCCTACATATGGGGGGCTTGTGTAGAATCCCTTTGCCTCCTGACTCTGTATCCAACCCCAGGAACAGCAAGGAAAGAAGCCGTTGGGAGTAAGTGGCTTCCCCAGGATACCCTTTTGGGGGCTGCTGGCTGTAAACTGAGCCATGGCCATTTCAGAAGGAAACTGGCCCCATTTATGTGTAGACAAACCAGCTAGGCCCTTTCTGGCTCTTTCCAGAGCTTTTACACCTGCTGGGGTCCCCTCCTGGAATATGTTTCCTATACTCTACACTCATCAAACCCCAATGCCTCCTTCAGTGTCACTTCTTCCAAGAAGCCCTCCCTAACCACCTGATCCAACAGAACAGGGATCCCTGTCTCAGTTTCCCTTCTGAACACCCCCACCTCCCTCACTGTTACCTCCTTTGTCATTACACTCCCTTGTTTTGCCTGGCCCCTGTGTGGGACCGGGGCTTTCATGCTCATGTGGTCTCCCTGGGGAAGAGTGAGCACCCGTAACTCCTTTGTGGAAGGGCCTCCTCCTGGAGTTCTCCTCCCGGAGACCAGCCTTGTGGGATGCCTCCTAGTCCAGGATGCTCCTGTGCCTCCCCGATACTGTGGCCTATCTGCTGGTCTTGGGCGGAGTTTTTCGGGCTCCCGCAGGGAACCGTCCAGAGACTCATGGGATGTCCCTAGGAGCTGGTCCTGATGCAGCGAGCCATGTGCATCTTCTGATAAAAAGGGCCCGGCTCGCTCATGGCACCCAAGGCTTTGGGGAAAGGGATGATTCTTGGAGTTCTTCCAGGCACGTCGGGAAAGATAACGTGCAGGAATTCCGTCTAGGGTTGTTGGCTCCTGCAGGGGCAGAGCTTTCTGGCCTTTCTGGAGATCCCAGGCTGATGAGCACACACGGTGTGAGAAGGCAGAGGGAACAGCCTATGCGAAGGCCAGGAAGAGAGCAGGCGTGAAAATGCTCGACAAGACACCGGGGGCAGCGCTGGTTTTGGCTGAGAGGAAGGGACTAGCCTGGGAAGTGGCTCCTCACTGTGCCGGGGGTTGGCATGTGGTACGCCCATAGGAAAGGGGGGACACAGTGGGAACAAGAAGCCCCATGTGGGCCCAGCCTAAGGACTTGGTGACAGGCGATGGTTGTTCCCTGCACTCTGGGAAGGGGAAGCATCCGCCGTAACGCATAGGCTTAGGGCAGCCTGCAGACTCCACACTCAGGCAGGAACCGTGGTTCCAGAAAATGGGTGAATCGAGGCATCCCAGTGCTTTCAAATCCTGCTGGGTGTTCCGTCTCCCAAAGCCCACTGTGTCCAGCTCATCAGCATGGCCTGCTTCTCTGTGCTCTCTCCAAGCTCCAGAGCATCTCTCGGGGTCAAGGGGGAGATAAGGGAGGGACTTCCCCGTGGCCAGGAATGTTCTATGGGAGAGCTGCTGGCAAGCCTCCTTCTGGGAGGTGAGTGAGAAATCCCAGAGCCCACGGAAGATGCCATTCCAAGGGCCGGCCTGGCCATGAAACCAAGTGGCTTATCCCAGCTTCACTGCTATTTATATAATCTGTATACCGGGGGAAATCACAGGAACCTCACAGGGTTGCCGTAAGTATTAGATGAGCTGCTAAGCCTCTGATGCTTGCTCTGGGACCTGGAGCATAGGAAGCAATCTTTCAAGGCTCAGTTTACAAACGGGGAGGATTGGGGTGGGGCGCGGCCTCCAGCAGGGACTGAGGCTGGTGCATGTGGCTCGATGCAGGGAAGGAGGGCCGCAGGGGGCTGGGCAGGGGGCTGAGTGGGGGCTGAGCGGGGGCTTGGGGACACGGGTAAGGTTGTGCTTGAGTCCTGCCCCTCAGGCCTGTTCCTGCTTGAATGATTCATTTCCACCGGGGTCCAGGCCCCCACTAATGGCCTCTGCATGGCTTCTCCCAAGGTACATGTACCCCTCCATGGACCAGCTGGCCGAAATGCTTCCTGGAGTGCTCCACCAGTTTGGGTAAGAGCGAGGGATCAATGGCCCCAGCAGCCTGCAGAGAAAGGTGGTTTCTAGCCTCTGCCTCTCCTTTGGCTTTGATCTGGCCACTGAAATGTAGGATGAATGGTCAGGAAAGAAATGAGCTGTCGCACCGTCTCTACTCCACTGTCTGCCTCCCTCCGGCTGGGCTTTTCTCCATGAATAAATACATCACCTGAAGCCCGCCTCCCCCCCATCCTTTCCCTGCCTCCTCTTCTTTTATTGCTCTTCTGGCCTGCCCTCCATTTCTCCCTCCATGCCCTATTTCTTCAGTGCTCATTGCCTTTTACTTGAGCCTTTTGTGTGAGGATCATACCTCAGAGTTCTTGGCCAATTTATTTTCCTTCCTAGTTTCAGAGTCTAAAATAAAGCTTAAGAGGGGAAGAAGTGGTGCGGTAATGGACCTTCCCATAAATGTCAGGGAGTCTCTCACAGCCTGCCTGAGAAAAGGGATGAGTCTCTCCAAGGTCACGGTGTTCTGTCAAGCTATAAAGCATGATGCATGTCGGGTCCTTGAGGCAGCGTGTTCTGGCTTGCCAGCCACGCTCCGCCATGAGCGGGACAGACGCTGGGGGCGGTGGCGTTCCTTAGGGACCAGGAGTGAGGGAGGTTTTTTAAGAGGGTCATTAGGGCTCCCATTGCTCATCCTTGTGTGACATGCCTTTTTATTTCTGCTTCCAGGCTGAAAAGCATTATTGGCATGGGAACGGGAGCAGGTGCTTACATCCTCACTCGCTTTGCTGTGAGTTCTTGGGCATTTTTAAAAAAAAAATTATGTTAAATGCAACTGAGTCAGGATTAAGGAAAACAACTGGATAAGCATCAAAAATCCCAGAATGAAGAGAAATGACCCGTAATTTCTGAAGGAAGAACCGCAGTTCACGTGGTGTGTGGCCCAGAGTCGTGCGCGCGCGCGCAAGTGTACTCAACATACATGCTGACAGCCTTGCCTTTCCTACAGCAGACAGATTGAATCTTTGACCACTGATTTTGCTCACTTCTTGGTTGGTGGTGGGCAGGTCCTCATGTCACCATACCTTCTGCTGCTTCGTGAAAACCCCACAGCTTCCGGATTCTGACTGATTCTCCACTAGAATCAGAGACACGTAGGCTCATGTGACTGTGGGCCCAAGCCAGGTGCTCCTGGAGCCCCTGTGTCCTTACCGAGCAGCTGTTCAAAGACGCAGCAGTGCTCGTTTGATGAATAGACTTGAAGGTATTCCGACTGCGTGTCACTTGCTGGACGTTGTCAGAACTCAGAAATGCTGGTATGAATTAAAAAAAAAAAAAAACAAAACACTGATGGACTAGGCTCTGAGCTGATAAAGAAGATCCGTGTTCGATATGAGATGGACACAGATGTGTCTTCCAGGAGTGGCTGCTAAGGAGCCATGACATGCCCTGCCTGACCTTGAAACTGGTGCTCTGGTAGACCCATCTGGCAGCGGGGGGAGAGGAGGTGCAGGAAGGGAAAGTGACTTGCCCAAGGCAGGTGTGCCACGCGCACACACGTCTCTTCTCCCACTGCCGTGCACACACACGTCTTCTGCTTCCCCGCCCCACAGTCTCGGGGGCTCAGTCCTGCGTCTGTTGAACTGGAGCCTCTGTTTGTCATGGGAGGTGGGGCTGAAGGGTCTTGAGGGCAACAGACTGCTCTGGGGATGCACATGGGCCCTTTTCTGGTACTTTTCTCCATTTTCTGCTTTACCTTTGAGGTACATGGTATCCTGAGATCACGGCGTTGCCACTCACCTTGTGTCTTGAATTGCAGCTGAACAACCCTGAGATGGTGGAGGGACTCGTCCTTATCAACGTAAACCCTTGTGCAGAAGGCTGGATGGATTGGGCTGCATCCAAGGTGAGGCTGGGGGTCAGGGCCAAGACCAAGGTAGTATCAGGGTCAGGGCTCCAGTCAGGGCCAGGGTTAGGGCCAGGGCTATGATCAGGGCCGGGGTTAGGTTCAGGGCTGGGCCAAGGCCAGGGTCAGGGCCAGAGTCAGGGTCTGGGCCAGGGTCAGGGCCAGAGTTAGGATCTGGGCCTGGGCCAGGGTCAGGGCTAGGGGCAGGGCCAAGGTGAGGGTCTGGGGTAGGGTGAGGGTCTGGGGTAGGGTCAGGGTCTGGGATAGGGTCAGGGTAAAGTCTAGGGTCAGGGTCAAGCAGGTAGAATAGTTGGGCCCACCCAAACCCCTTATAGCCTCCTACTCACCACTCCATTACAGAAAACAGTTTGCTTTGCTTTGCTTGGGATAGTAAACATGACTTCAGCCATTTGTCATTCGGAAGATTTCAGTAGGACACTGTGATCTAAACTAGACATTCCCTGGGGACGTGAGTCCTCGAGCCAGCTTTGATAAGCATAGTTTGGGTTAAGAAGTGTTTGCTGAGGACCTAACATGTACTGGGCTTCGGTCAAGACACTGGAAATCAAAAGAGGAACAAGACAAAGGCCTCTGATGTCAGGAACCCACATATCATTGATGAAAAAGGAGGGTGTGTTTAGGACCAGCACTGCTACTCATTTGATGATGACAGTAATTAGCTAGTGTGTCCTGAGTATTTCCCAGGTGCTGTTCGTACTGTCTGACCACATTGACTCTTCCCAGTGACTCCGGGGGGTGGACTTGTTAAAACCAGGTTCTGGAGGAGGAAAGTGAGGCTCAGAAGTGAAGGAAGCTGTCCAAGATCCCACAAAGCTAGTCAGTGGGAGAACTAGGGCTGAATCCAGATCCCATGGACTCTGTAGTCCTTGGGCCTCACCTCCTGCCTCCATCCCCCGTCTCATCCAGCAGGTGTGGAATGGCCCCTTGACCCAGGCGCTGCAGGTCTGGGAATACAGAGGGGACAGGACCCATGCTGTCTTGGGAGGCTCTGCTCTGGCTGGTGTCCTAGCGTTCCTTGTTTATCTTTTAAAAATGATTATTGTGTTTTTTCATAAAGGCGCCAGTATTTGCCAAGGGAAGAGGTTAGCCGTTCCAATTGAAACAGGACAGAACCTTTCAAGCTGGGGTGATCCTGGCCTTTCATTTTGAAAGTATGTTTTTGCCAAGTGTTGGGTGGCTGTCGCAGACCGAGGTTTGAAGGGGTTGTGCCCCTCCCTGCTACCTCCCACCCGTCTTGGCCACTCTGATACTGCATTTCTTTCTGGAACCTTATGCCAAAATGCAGGAGCCCATCCCTCTGATCCTGCGTGATATTCAGAAGCAGAGCACACTCCCTGTTTTTTTTTTATTTTCCAGGAAAGGAAGTGCTATTACCGTCAGCCAGTTTGGCTCCTGGGTAACTGTTCTGAGCCAGACGTGAAGGGCTGGGGACATTGACCATTGGCCAGAGTAGGGCCTGAGGAATGTGTGTGTGTGGCTTTAGCATCTGCACCATATCCTTCCTTTCCAACCCCAAGAGAAAAAAGCCCTATATTGGGAGTCGTCTATTACGTGTCAGGCACTGACGTCAGATCCTATGACACGTGTGGTCGCCTCATGTTACCTTCACCTTGACCTTGTGTCTTGGAAGCTCCTGGCACGGCTGCTTACAGATGAGAAGCTCGAGCTTCAGAGGCTCTGCAGCCCACCCAGACCCGCACAGCGAGTGTATGGCAGGAACCCCAGTCTGGAGAGTCCCCTGGCTTGGAGCTTCTCTATCCTGCCCATCCTTGCCTGACACTGAAATCGGTCAGCACACATTTATGGAGCTCCTGCTGTATCCTGAGCATTTATGGAGCTCCTGTTACGTACCTAGCACTTATGGGGCTCCTGCTGTACACCTAGAATTTAAGGAGCTCCTGCCGTATACCTGGCATCGTGTTGGGGAGAGAGAGAGAGGAGAGAAAGTTGGCCATGTCTTTAGTGACCTCCATATATTCCAAGAGAGGATACTGGCTCGAGGTGGGTAATCTAGAGGATGATACAGGAAGGCTAGTTCAAGCTAAGCAGGTCCTGGGGTAGAGACTAGAAGAGCTTGGTGTGTGTATAGAAGAAGGGGGCCCTCCTTGGGAGAACCCAGTGTGCTACAGCATAGGGAAAGCTAGGAGCAGGCTGGGTCTCTGTTCAGCTCCTGTTTTCTGTGCATCTTTGCACTGTGCATGGGGGTCTGAGAACAAGCGATTGGTGGAGACTCAGGTGCTGCCTTCAGGGAGGGCCCAGGTCCTTCAGTCAACTGGAACAGGTAGCCAAGTGCCCATGAGGGGGCTGACTTCAGACCTAAGTGTGGGGAGCTCAGCACTGAAGGCTTTGCTGACCCACCACTGCAAACACCTGTTCTCATCATACCTGTTCTTGCCCTGCCCAGATCTCTGGATGGACCCAAGCCCTTCCAGACATGGTGGTGTCCCACCTCTTCGGGAAGGTAGGTAGCATGGCCTCACATCCTGTCGTTCATGCCGAGCGACCGCGTGCTCCTTGGGCCTTGGGCATAGAGACCAACCAGACACAAACCGCTGAGGCCGCTGCTGACATCCGCCTCGCCCACAGTGCCCGTGACTGCTTTCCAATCAGGTCCCGCTCACTCTCCTTCTAACATGAGGCTTTTTTTTTTTTTTAAAGAAAGTAACATACTAGATAGATCCCTTCTAAGTAAATATAACAGATAGCTTTTTTTTTTTAATTTTATTTATTTATTTGACAGACAGATCACAAATAGGCAGAGAGGCAGGCAGAGAGAAAGGAAGGGAAGCAGGCTCCCCGCTGAGCAGAGAGCCCGATGCGGGGCTTGATCCCGGGACCCTGAGATCATGACCTGAGCCGAAGGCAGCGGCTTTAACCCACTGAGCTACCCAGGCGCCCCTAACATGAGGCTTTTTAAAGGTGCTTTGTTATTAGAAGTACGAAATTTCACCAGTGCTGACACACACACACATCCCCATAAAGCCGCACTGATTGAGATGATGACCATATCCATCACCCCCAAAAGTTCCCCGTGCCCCTTGCTAAGCCTTCCCTCCCTGCCCCTCGGACAGCCTCTGATCTCCTGACCCTCGCTGGAGATGAGGTCGTATTTCCTAGAGTTTTACATAAATGGTACCACACAGTACGTATCCTCATGCGCTGGGCACAGTTGCTTTGAGGTCCGTCTCTGCCGCTGCTCCCTTGCTTTTCCAGCTTCTGGTAGCTTCAGAATTCCCTGGCTTGTGGCTCAGCCCTCCATGCTCTGTCTCTGTCTCTGGTGGCCTCTCAGCGTCCGTTTCAGATCTCCCACTGGGGGCACCTCGGTTGAGTGCCCAACTCTCGATTTCAGCTCTGGGCATGATCTCGGGGTTGTGAGATCGAGCCCAGGGTCAGGCTCCGCGCTCAGCATGGAGTCTTCTCGTCCCGTGCCCTCTGCTCCTCCCACCGACTCACGCGCTTTCACTCTGTCTCAAATAAATAAATAAAATCTTAAAAAAAAAATACAACAAACCTCCCTCTGCCTTTCTCTTAGAAGGACACTTGCCATTAGATTTAGGACCTACTGGGATGATCTCAAATGATCTCATTTCAGGATCCTTCTCTTAATGACGTCTACAAAGACTTCTCTTCCAAATAAGTTAGCGTTCACGATGCCCAGGGGTTTGACATGGACGTGGCCTTTGGGGCTAGCCTGCTGCCCACTGTAGCTGTCTTCCCCTTGTCTGTGCTCCATTCAGTTTGCGATACATTTTCTCTACCCCTGAGTGTATCATCTGAGCCTGAGGGGATCATGGGAAAAATTAAAGTCAGTTTCTGTATTTCCTTGCAGGAGGGGGTGTCAAGTATAGGGTGAGAGTCTGACCTGCTTCTGCCCCACATTACTTGAGGAACCCCCAGGTTGCTATAGTTTGTTTGTTTTGTTGTTGTTGTTTTGTTTTTTGTTTTTTGGTTTTTTTTTTATCTGAAACCGCAGCACAATTTACGATGGTTTCTTCCTGATTATGTTTCTAATGGCATGTTGGCCTCTTTGTTGCTTCACTGATCATGGACTACTTAGACAATAGTTCGGGCTGGACATGGGCCCCCCTTTGCTCCCTCCCTGTCCTGCTCTGGTGGCCACTGATCACATCAGGCCATTTTGTGGAGCCATCACATCCGCTCTTTTACAAATGAGAACCAGAGCAAGCTCGTAACTTGTTTGTCTGTCCCAAATCACATTCAGAAAGGAACCAGGGGTTCCTTTCTGAGGAAAGCCGAGGCTTCTGCAGGTCTCTCGCCACCCCCCCCCCGGAAGCTGAGAAGGCTCTTCTTTCCAGAAGGTTCACGGGAGTTGCATGCTTTGGTTTTGTGTTTCCAGGATGAAAAACTTCTCAACTCCCCCTTAAAAACATTAACTTCTAACAGTTGCATCAATTTTTACTCTTTACAAAGGGCTTTTGTGTGCACCACGTCTCTTAATCCCACAGCCTGATGATACAGGGAATAGTCATCCCCCCTTTTATTTTTGAGGGGACTAAGGCTCCAAGAGGTTAAGACACTTGCCCCCAAAAAAGGACAGTGCCAGAGCCAAGGTCCATGTTTGGGAGGACTGACCTCGAATACAAAGTCCTGAAGAAGTAAGGAACCCAGAAGGGCGTTCTTTTCCCTTTGTGGGTTTGCATTCCTTCCTGTTATCAGCTGATAGGCAAAATCAGACTGCATTTCCCGCGGTCTGCTCAGGCTCCCTGGGAGTCGAGTGCATTATGCCTTATTATCTCTGTACCGCATAACCCGAAGAATGGAGGTACTCGGGAGTGGCCCAGGGCCCTGGTCCCAGCAACGGCTGTCTTCCCTCTTTCGATGCAGGAGGAAATGCAGAACAATGTGGAGGTGGTCCACACCTACCGCCAGCACATTGTGAATGACCTGAATCCCGGCAATCTGCATCTGTTCATCAACGCCTACAACAGGTATTAGTACACGGCTTGGCAGTCGAGTTCCTTTTGTTGGTCTGGAATGTGGCGTAAGGCAGAGGGGGCTTACGAAATCAGTAGAGGATCCAGTCCCTGAATTTGAGCAAAGAGATGGCTGGGAGAGGGAGACAGGTGCTTCCTGGAGTCCTGCACTCCAGATGAGGGGGATGCAGGCATGAGGGAGACATAGTCACCGCCCCCCCCCCGGGGTTTGGAATAAGTGTCCATGCCCCGGCTGACCCTGCAGAGAGGCCAGGTGTGAGGAGGGTGAAGACAGTGAGAGTGGGAACGAAGGGGAGGGAGCAGTCCAGAGAAGCTGCTGGAAGGTGAGCCAAGCCAAGGACAAGGAGCACATCCCTCCAGCCTTTGGCAAGGTGTTAGTCCTCTTCATGATAATGAGGGGCTGGTCTGGACCTCAGCTGAGGGAGGGGACAGCTTAGGGACACTGGTGTCAGCCAGGTGTTCTGAAAACAGGGAAGGCCGTCTGCTGCGCTCCCATGAAGGGGACAGGAAGGAGCCTCGGGACTGTATCTCTCTGCGGCCAGTAGCTTACTGCATGAAAGGCGTTAGTGTCTGTAACAAAGTTCAGTGTCCATCTCCTCTTACCATCCTCCCAGCATCCCGCCTCTCAGTGCAGTAGGGAGAGGTCCTGCCCCAGTGGGCAACTGAAGATGTGGGACCCTGCAGAGCATTTCTTAAGCAAATACTTCCCGAGAGCTGGAGCAATCAGGCAGTTGGCTAGGCAGCAGACCCGCAGAGACCAGAACAAACCCCCAAGCCCCACACACTGCTTTGCCCTCGTGGTGCCCATAGGAATCAAGTAAATCCTCTTAAAAATCCTGGGACACTGTTACTATCATCATCTCCTGCCAAGGAAGCGCATGCACAGAGAGGTTCAGCATTCTGTCCAAAGTCACACAGCGAGGAAGTGGAAGGGTGTGATTTGAATCCAGTCTCTCTGGCTCCAGGCCATGCTCTGGAAAAGGGTGTCTGCTGGTAGGAGCCCTCGGGAGGCGAGAGGCTGGATAGACATCTGCAGGAGTGAGCCATGGAGCTGGCCAGGCCCATGCTGGGTATGGCACAGCACAGTAGGAAACTGGGGGAGGCTTTGAAATGAGGGAGGGAAAGGGTCAGGTTTGCGATGTAAAAGAGATTGTGTAGAGTACTCGGGTTGGGGACAAGGAGGTGGGTGCCATGGGAAATGAGTGAGTCCTGCTGTCCCTAAAACCATTTACATGGACCCTGAGAGGCTGTGCTGTCCCCGAGAGCCATGCTGGTTGGGACATGAGTGTTTAGCCAGGACAGCCAGTGGCAGGACATCCTGGGATTAGGGAGATGGGAGGGGCTGTCCAGGTAACGATGGAACCGTGCGTTTGTTGTCTGCAGCCGGCGGGACCTGGAGATTGAGCGGCCGATGCCCGGAACCCACACAGTCACCCTGCAGTGAGTGGCCTTTGTCCCCCTCGCCATCTTGTCGCCTTGCTCAGCCCCTGGCAGGGCCCTCTTTCTGTGTTTGGCAGGATTGACGCTCTGTGCCAGGACATCCATCATTGGCACGCCCTGGGTGTGTGCTTCCCAGGAGGCAGGCATGGCCCGGTCTCTCTAACCTACTTGATGTGCAGGGGTTCAGTTCCTGGGGGTGTCCCTGAGACATGGGTGGGAGCCTAGGGTCTCAGAGAAGGAGCGCTCAGTGTACTTTGGATAAAACTTATTAAGTACCTGCTCTATGTTGAATATTGCATTAGGCTTTGCTTTCACAGAACCTGGAGATGACTAAGACATGAGTCCCACCCTAAAGTACCCTATAAGCTAGTCATAGGTACAGCTGACTGCATTCTGCCGGTATCATCTGTCTTTTGTAGTTCTGTAAGTGAGCCATATTATTTGACGCCTGAACTTGGCACATGCCATTCCCTTTGTCAGGCATGTCCTCGTGGTCTCTGGTCTTGATTGTTGGCAGAGCCCTACATATCCTTCCTTGAGGAGAGGATGCTTGAAACTAAAACATCAGGGCCCAGAAATTCTCTGGCTGAAATTCATACTAAGGTGTAAATGACTATCATCTCAGTTTATCTTAAGAACAAAGCAGAGGATGGAAGAAGAAGAAAGTTCAAAGAGCAAAGGGTACTGGGGAGACCAAAACAAATATTTTTAGAACTCTGGTCTCAGCCTGGGAGGCCTGGGAGCATATGAATCTTTAATAAGTAAACTTTGTGTTAACTCGCTCTTCTCTCCCTGACCCAGGTGTCCTGCTTTGTTGGTGGTTGGGGACAGCTCTCCCGCTGTGGATGCTGTGGTATGTAGGAATCATCCAGTTGTTTCTGTGCTTAATTCAACAGTCCGAATCTGGTTGGCCTTTGGGCAGAGGGCCCCAACATCAGCCTCTATCCCAGGTGACTGCCAGCCCTGTTTGCTTGGCACCGGGTCCTCTGTCTTTTATTTCCAGGCCCAACACCTGCCGTTCCACCTCCCATTGGTTTGTTTAGATGGGCATGTTTGCCGCTTGGCTTCCCAGCCAACAGACTCGGGAATCTGGTAGAGTTTTCAGACCTGCTTGGTGCCTGATTGTCTGGAAGGGCAGAGAGGGCCCTGGGCAGTGGGGTTTAGACAAGGCTTTCTGAGTCATTTCATCCCTTAATTCCCACCTGGGATGTTGGGGAGGCAAAGCACAGACTTGACCCTCTGATAGCCCCACAGCTGGAGACCGGGAACCTTAGGGGTTACTGAGCAGAGTGCTAGCATGGTGACACACCTTGTGGCTACAGAGTGGGACTTGCAAAGGGCCATGAGTTTCCTGTGATCTGACCCACCAGGCATAATCATAGGATATATCAGTATAGAGATATTGTTCATAGGAAGGGAGGTGATAATCTTAACTGTAGGCACTTGGAACATCATGGGTTACATGGGGGTATTTTGTCCAGTTTGGATGTGCTGCTGAGATGTTCATTGACAGATGAAAGCTAGTGGATGTTAATCTCATAAAAGCTAGTGGATGTTAATCTCTTATGAAGACTGGTTGTCAGGACTGCAGATGTTGATCCACTTGTAGAATCTCTGGCAGCACTAGGTTAAGTAAGTCCATTCATGTAGCAGCTGTTTCTGGAGCGTCTGCTGGATTTCAGCGCATCGTTGTAACAATCCTTTGAAAAAAGACATTACTCCCTTTTTATGGATAAAGAAACAGAGGCTCAAAGAAATTAAGTAACTTGTCGAAGGTCGCTAGTAATGACAGGGCTGAAACTTACGGTTACGTCGCTTCATCTGGAAGCCCACATTCTTTCCTCCATGCTAGTGGGAAGACGAGTTGCTGCTGATAGGGGCAGCAAAGGGGGAAGGCTGATGACCTTGGCTCTGGATGGAAAATTAACAGCTTTCTTCTCCCTTTCCTGGTCCAGGTGGAGTGCAACTCGAAATTGGATCCAACAAAGACTACTCTCCTCAAGGTACAGGCAGAATGATGCGAATCCGCCTTTGTTTTTTCTCAGAAACCCCTAGCTCGCTACAGAATGGAGTAGTGCCTAATTGAGGCACAGCTGGGGGGGTCAGAGACCGTAGAAATAATTATTTAATGTGTGTGTTCGCGAACATCTATCTGTTGTGCCCCCAGCTGGACACCCTAGGCTGCAGAGCCCTAGAGTCTGTGGGCTACTGGCCTTGGTGCTCCGAAGAGGGATGGACTAGGATTTGTGCAGGCAGGGGCTCTCCTAAGGGTTGGGCTGGATGTTCCTCCAAGAGGGGCTCTGCCATGGGAGGGCAGGACTCTGGCAGCTTCTCTGGGTACTTGAGGTGCTCACTGTCCCCGAGGCCAGATTGAGGGTCCGTGCCCTCCCTGACCTCCCAGTCCAGCCGCCATATTGTTTGTGACTTGCCTAAAGGCACCACACAAGACGAGGACCCTTTCTGGTTCTACCCCCAGGAGGGCAGGCGACCCAGGTAAGGCCTGCGTGAAATGAGCTGAGGGTCTGTGGAGCGCTGTGCCCTCAGTGGCCTTGTGAAAGGCACTGGGAGGCGTCTGATACTGAGGAGGGGACCTGGTCCCTGGAGCCAGCTCTTCACATACACTTTCTTTCTTTCTTTTTTAAAGATTTTATTTATTTATTTGACAGAGAGAGTGAGATCACAAGTAGAGAGGCAGGCAGAGAGTTGGGGGGAAGCAGGCTTCTTGCTAAACAGAGAGCCTGATGTGGGGCTCGATCCCACGACCCTGAGATAATGACCTGAGCCGAAGGCAGAGGCTTAACCCACTGAGCCACCCAGGTGCCCCGACTTCACATACATTTTCTATCAAGATTCCCTCACGGGAAATTGCAGGAGAAGATGCTGGGCTTTGGGCCCCAGGGGGCTGCTGATCGGCTGATCCAGGAGGCCCGTTGTCTTTCTTAATTGTCCCGGCAAACCGTGTCTGGATTCCGGCAGCACTGGGGCCGCTATCCCAGGAGAAAGATGGAGAGGTCACAGCTATTGCTGATAGGGAGAGGAGGATGGAGCATTCGAGAAGGGGAGCTTAGTCTCCTCGTCTCCATTATAAGCACCCAGATCAGGGATGGGGGGTGCCATGCTGAAAGGCGCAGGAGTCTTCTCTTGCTGCCTTGCAGTCTGGAAGCTGCAAGTCCCAAGTCCAGGTGTGGTCAGGGCCACGCCCCCTTCGAGGGCTCTAGGGAGGCCCCTTTCATGTTCTTCCCTTTTGTGGCCATTGCCGACAGGCCTCAGTTTCCCGGCTGGCATCCGCATTCCTCCTGTCTCTGCCTCCATGCCGCCCAGCCTTCTCTCTGGGCAGCCCTGTGTCCAGATTTCCCTCTGGTTTTAAGGACACCCCCAGTCATTGGATTTCGGGTCCACCTTCTTCCAGTACGACCTCATCTTAGCTCAGCACATCTGTGGAGGGAAGGTGATGACCTACGATCAGTGGCCAATTTGGCGGTGATGGGGATCTGAGTCTAGACAGCTTGGCCCCTGGGGTCAGTTCTGGTGTACTGTCGCTGCATGGGTGCCCCCGGGTGCCCCAGTTAGCCTGACCCTGAGGCAAGACGCTGGGCCTTGGCCTGGCCCAGTGCCAGCTGCTATCACTCATCAAGCCTGCCAGTCCCATGTCTCTCCTAGCTGTCCTCACCCCCACCGCTGCCCCAGTCTGCCGAGCCCTGGGTCTGGGTCATGGTCCCACGTGGTTTGATGATTCCTTAGGAACTTCGGAAGCTGTGGTGTTTGTGCCGGTGTAGCCAGTGGGAAGACCCTGAGGCCAGCCGTCTCAGGTGGAGCAGTTTCTGTCTAAGGGAACGTTTCACGAGAATGTGTGTGTGTAGGGCCTCCCGCACTGAGGCTTTCTGGTCAGATGGACCCTGGCCCCAGGCCTGCTGGTTCCTCGAGCTCTCTCAGGCCCAGCATGTGCCTCTGCTATGGATGTTCGAACCCTCCGGTTCTCAGGGAACTGAGGGAGATTTCTGGGGCCCAGCAGGGCATCTGGCATCTCAGTCAAGAAGACACAGATCCATGCTGAGATGGACAGAAACGAGCAGCCCTGGTGGGTGGGGGTGGGTGTCTCTCCACCCGTCAGGTGCCCAGTGTCTGACAAACGGGGCCAGACGGGGCCGGGCAGTGGCAGGCGGGTCCCATGGGGAGGGACGCCTCTGCCGTGGTGTTTGGCACTGACCAGCTTCCCTCTCTCCTAGATGGCAGATTGCGGTGGCCTCCCACAGATCTCCCAGGTGAGTCCCACCTGTCCCCGCCCCCCAGCTGGAAGGTGGGTGCCTCTCTGTCCTGTTAGCACCCATTCCCCCACTGTCTGCTTGTCCCCCAGCTCACTGTGACATCTGATGACACCACAGACACGTCACTGTATACAGAAATTGCTTGCGCATCCTAGGAACCCCAGGGGCTGGATGACGCTGGGGCTCATGGGGGGAGGGGGTTTGATGCATGGACACGGCTTGACACCTGCAGACCCAAGTCTAACTGTGTCTGGTGTTCGCCCTCAGAGACCACAGGGTTCTGCCGGAGCTCAAGGCCGAGCAGAGCGGGGCAGTGGGGAGATGAAGCCAAAGTGTGTGTGTGTGAACACATGTATGACTGTGCATGTGAACACATGCATGTATCTGAGCACGTGTATGACTGTGCATGTGAACACATGCGTTTGAGCACGTGTGTGAGTGTGCATGTGAACACATACGTGTGTGCACGTGTGTGTGCGTGCAGACATCAGTGCAGTGTTTGCTGCACAACCACTCGCCCCTCCCATCCCCCACCGGTAAATAACCCCACTGACCTAACAAGGGAAGGAACTTTGGAATCTCTATCCTTAAGTTTTCATCATCATAGTTTTCTTCTCTTTCCTAACATGGAACATGATGTGAAATCGTTGGTCGCCTTTGCCACCAAACTGTGGGAAGGATGGAATGATGCCTTTTCTTTCTTCTGTTCCTTGCCCTCCTGAAAGGGACTTCATGGCTTCTGCAATCCAGCACTTTCTTGATGGACAACAATAGAATCTGGATCTTTTTCTACATACCTGTATCCTCCTTCCCCCTGTGCCCCCACCGTGGGAGCCTCCTGCAGCAGTGAGCCTGCACTCAGGGTCCGTCTCACCTGCCAGGGTGTAGGGAGAGACAGGGATGAGGGCACCGAGCACCAGAGGGTTAAGACCACATCCCCCTAGGTCTTCCCACTGACTCTTTCTGGCAGGTGCACCCATGCCCTGGATTCACACGTGCTCTGAGGGCCGCCTTATCCATGAGCCCGTCATCCAGGCAATGACGTCAGGCTGGGGAGATAAGACAAACAAAACTTAGATTTTTAGAGGAGAGAAGGGCTGTGTGCCCTCCTCAGTGATGAACCAGGACCTAGAATGTGTATTTTATGAGTTTGAGGTTTGTTTTATTTTTTTAATCAATGCTATTTAGTACTTCTAATTTTGTAGTTACAAAGTAATACATTTTCATCAATGAAAAATTAAAGATACAGGTGAGTAAAAGAATAGTAAAAAAAACACATCCGTAGTTCCCCAACTTCAGGTTTTACCGTTGTTACAAACTTTAAAGTTACTTACTTCTAGTCTCCTCCTCTATATACTTGTGTACATTTTAATTTTTGTTACTCTAAGCAAGATTAGGATCATATTGCATATCTATTTTTTACTAGTCCACATAACTTGACATCTCCAAGCTCTCTCTTCCTTTGGTTAAAAATGCTCTGTACCTTGTTTTTAATGGCAGGACAAAATGCCATCACACAGATAACCCGTAACTGGTTTTCTTGACGCTCTACTGCTGGACACTTACAGGTAGTTTCCAGTTTCTCACTGTTCATGGTGGGGCTCTGGAGAGCCTCTCAGTGTGGGAAGGATCAGCTCTTGGTTAATTTCATGCGGCCCTGCCAGTTTCAAGGACTGTGTGATGGAAAAGGGAGAGTCTTGGCTCTGAGTCCCCAGGGAGTGGGCGACGGCTCCCAGGTCCATCTGGGGGCAGAACAATCTTCGTACTAGCTGGAGCTGTCCCAATAGAGAACGGTCTCTCTGGGGTCATGGAGTATTTCGCTGGGGGCTCTAAAGGGGAGACCCGCGAGAAGCAGATTTCTGCAACAGGTGCACCCTGGGCTTGACTCTTCTCTGCATTGTCTGTCACTGCAGCAACTCCCTCTAGAACGCTGCACAGAAGTGTAGGCACAAGTGGCTTTTGGTAGCTCGACTAGCCTCTTGGCAGTGGGTCCCTCCGCTCCCACTAGAAAAGGACAAAATCCTTGCAGTGTTTTATCTGCTGTTGTGTTACGCCTCATTACAGCTGGGAGAAACCAGAGAAGGGTGGGCTGGCCCCACCTCCAGAGGGAACAGATGGGCTCCCTGCCATAGAGCCTTCTTAGAAGCGGGGGTAATACCTGCATGCCAGTGGTGCATCCTTCAGCATCCAGCTCACTGCTGGACTTCTAGTGGAACAGTATTTCTCCAGGGCCCGCGGTCCTCAGGCTGGCTCGGGGAGAGGGGCCCCAGGGTTCCTTCAATCTGCCCTCCCTTCCTCCCTCCCTCTGTCCCTCCCCTTTTCCCTTCCTTTTCTGTATTGGAAATGAGAACAGCTCCAATCCTGACCGTAATAGAAACACGTTGTAAAAGCCTGGCAGGGGCTGAACCAGCCCAGGCTTCCGGGAGACCAGTCCAGGGAGACCCCTTTTTACTGTCATTCCTCTTCCTCCTGCCCTCACAAGAATTGGATGTCTGTTTATAGAGGGCATCCCCATCCCTCATTCCATTTGCAAGGCCTACAGTCCTTAGAGGTGAGAAGAACAGGTGTTTGTTGCAGTGTCACAGAAGGGGAAGGGAGGCTGAAGGATTGTTTTGTGCTGGGCACTGATGGCAACTCTTGTCACTTGCTGTTGTCTCACAAACCCCAGAGGGCAGCTTGAACACAGCCTCTCCCTTATTTATTGATTATGTTTTTAAAAGATTTTATTTATTTGAGAGAGTGAAAGCGAGAGAGATTGCAGAGGGAGAAGCCGACTCACTGCCGAGCAGAGAGCCTGATGCGGAATTTGATGCCAGGACCCTGAGATCATGACCCGAGCTCAAGGCAGATGCTCAACCGACTGAGCCACCCAGCCACCCTACAGCCTCTCCTTTAAATGTCACGTGGCTGTTTCTAGAATAGTGGCAGGCATTGGTGGGGGTGGGCAGGAACACTGCGACTGCCGATGACTTCTCACTGGGGTGGAAAGATGCTAAGGAGCGCAGACCCAGGACATCGCTTGGGAGAGTTGGCGGTTAATGGGACTGTGGGTATGGCCTTGAGAACATTTCACTTCCCAGTTCAGATGAATTTAAATTTGGAGAGATTAATTGATGGAACTGGGTAGGTTCTCAGCATTCCCAACTCATTTCACTTAAAGTAGCCCATAGATTTGGTTAGTTGGTTTACCCAGCTGTCCATCATCCATCCATCCATCCATTCATCTATCAATCCCTCTTCTGTTTTTTAATTTCTTTCCATCCATCCTTTTCATCCATCTGTCCATCCTCCTTACTTCTATCCATCCGTCTTATTTTTATCTACCTGTCCACCATCCTTCCAAGCCAGCCAGCCTTCTCTTGAAGCTGAGAGTGAATTGCCTTGAAAGCATGGAGTTTGGAAAGCCCGAGATGAATCTGTAGGACCACGCGTGAATTGACTGTAAGACCATGGATGGATTATTTACCTCTCCATTACTGTTCGGCAATGATACATACATGGAAATGGCACCAACTTCAGAAGGTTATTGTCGAAAGAAGATGGAATGCTGCAGGCTGTTGGTGCTGTTACATTCTAGATGCTGAGTTGGACACATCACTATCAGTGCAATCTTCTTCATGGAAACCCTTAGCAGTTAGTGTGGCCATCTCTCCGTGTTTCACAGGAGAGGTCATATAACGTGACCAGACCCCCCCAGCTATGAAGTGAATTTACAATTTTTTCTCCCTAGCCAAAGTGAATTCTGCTCCCCGTAACTAACACATAGTCTTTCTTTTCTTTTGTTCCCTGTCCAAGCAGCACGGGGTGGCCTTCCCTCTCGGGCCCAGCTCTTTAATAAAGGTGACTGTGGGCACAGCTCCACATAGCCCTTCAGTATGGGGACCTCCAACGACTGACCATACTGTCCCTTTTCCTCTTGCAGCCAGCCAAGCTTGCCGAGGCCTTCAAGTACTTCGTGCAGGGCATGGGATACAGTAAGTGTGGCCTTTCTGGGCGGGTGGTGGGGTGAGGGGCAGGCATGGGAATTGAAACCGCAATGACCTGGACCGGGCTTGTAACTAACTACTCTCAGTACTCTCGGCCAGCCTCAGCTTTTTGCAAACTAGGAAGGTCAGGGGAGGAAACGTTTAGGTGTGTGGTGGATGGGCAGTAGTGCGGAGGTTCTAGTATCTTCTTTATACCACGGTGGCTTCATCTCCCTCCACTAATTACCAGGTATGGTTTCAAACGGAGTTTTCTTTAGATTTAGGTGAGGACCCACCCTCTAAGCACCAAAAAGAGCACAGTGGAACCCTGAAAATCTTCCACATTTTGGTTACATGCTTGCTTGCTTTTTTTTTTTAAATTTAATTTCAATTTAATTGACATAGAGTGCATTACTAGTTTCAGAGGTAAAACTTAGTGATTCATTAAGTTATGTGTATATGATTATGTGCTTGCTTAAGAGACTTACAGTTGTGATGGTGGTGGTGGTGATGGCGGTGATGATGGTCATGATGAAAGATTATTAGTAAATCCTTTGTTTTTTTTCCTCATTTAACCGTCACAGTAAGCCTGTGTGCTACTTTTTTTTTCCTCCCCTTTTTTTTTTGAGAGAGAGGGAGAGAATGCGTGTGCATACAAATGGGGTTAGGAACAGCGGGAGGGGGAGACAATCTTGGGCTCCACACTCCGCACAGAGCCCAGTGAAAGGCTCAGTTTTGCAACCTTAAGATCATGAGCTGAGCCGAAATAAAAAGTTGGATGCTTACATGACTGAGCCCCCCAGGCTCCCCAGGCCCCCCCATCCTATGAAGTCCTCTTACCCGCATCTTACAAATAATGGAACTGATGTTTGGAGAGATTAAGCAAGTAGCAGAGTGGGTATCTCTGAAAGTTCTTTGAAAACCATAAAGCTCTGTATGTGGGTGATAAAGTCACCCGTATTCAAGACCGTGCCTCTTTGCCAAGTCCTTGGATTTAGGAATTGAAGGAGAAATAGAAGCATACTTCAGGAACATGCTGCTTCTTACGTGATGGTTATAGTTTAGTTGTTAGACACATCCAGCCTTCTTCAGCAGTGCAGTCCCATGACCAGGACAGACCATTGCCAAGTGTAAGCACTCTGGTGGGTTGCGGCCACAGATGGTACCAGTTGAGGTGTGAGCCGTGACGTGGTTCTTTTGGCTCTTTCTGCCGACGGCTTTGAATTATAATTTATATGCCAATCTTAACGAGGATGTCTGAATGTCTAATCTATTCCTTTTTTTTTTTACCCCTCGGAGCCTGAAACTTTTTGTTCATTTAAAATAGTAATGGTATCTTTGGTAAGCCGACCACACTCTTAAGATTGGCCACAGCCGCCTTTAGTTTCTAGAGAGGCCAAGAGCCAGTGAGTCTCATTTACATGCTGCAGGCAGGGCCCGTGTCCCTAGGTGCCCTGTTCCAACAGAAAACATCTGTCTCTGGGTCTGCTGCCCTCTCAGCTACCTGCCCAATGGGAAAGCGAGCAGGCAGAGGCAGCGCCCGGAGACCGCCGCGGGGCAGACTTGGTTTACCTGGCAGGGCGTACATCATGACTCGTTTGCTTTGGACCTACCCTGGCTTTGGATTTCTGCCCCGAAAGTGTATTCTGAGGAGAAAGGAAGTGAAAGGCAGGCCTTGTTCCCTCCAACACGCACATATACACCCCCCCCCACACACACACACACACAACACCAGCTTCTGTCTCCAGGAAGCTGAAGCATCCGGCAGGTTACAGGGGAAGAAAGCAGGAAGAGCTCTCCTCCCAGAGGCATGAACCACAGAGAAAGCAAGTAGTCATCTGCTGAGCGTCTGCTCAAGCTGGGCCAGGCAGGACTCTCTCTTTGCATCCGTGACACCATTTGCTGGTCAGCCTTGAGCCCTGTGACATCAGAAAAACTCTCAGATTGGGGGATTGAGAAATAGGGGTTCAGAAAAAAGAGTGAGCGACAGATGTGGGAGCGATCCCGATTCTCCCTGGATCTAAACACTCGCTCTTGGAGAAGGGAATTCAGTGCGGCAAGGATTCGTTTGGTTTGTGGGCACGTGTCCCAGCAGGCCAACCCTTGCGTCCTCGGAGTGACCAGCGTAGTCACCGCCAGGCTTGTGTATGTATCCAGTTCCTTGGCTTGTGACCGATTGCTCAGTGTGGCCTTCGCAGTGATGCTTTGTTTGGGGGGTGTACTAGCTTCCTATAGCTGCTGTAACAGATCTCCACAAACCGGATGGCTTAAAAACACCGAGAAACATGCTTTCACGCTATTATAGCTCTAGAAACCAGAAGTCCAAAGTCAAGATGTATGCACGGTCATGCCCCCCCTTGGAGATTCTAGAAAGAACTTTCCTTGCCTCATCTCAGCTCCTGGAGGGAGCTGGCAACCCTTGCTTTTCTTTGGCCTGTAGCCACATGACTTCCACCTCTGCTCTGGGTTCACATGGCCATGTGTGTATGTGTCTGTGTGTGTGTGTGTCTGTGTGTGTATGCGCACACGCACTTGTAGGGATTCCGTCTCATGAACAACCAGCCTAATCTAGTATGACCTTATCTTAACAAAATGTATTGGCAAGGACCATATTTGTGTTCTTCAGTTCTGCTGCCTATGAATTTGGGGCTGGTGGTTATGAGTTTGGGGGAGTAGAGGTCAGGGTTCAGCCCAGTGCAGGTGGGGGGGTCACTTTGTCTTCATTTCACTTTCTCAGCCATCTGCTCTGTGCAAGGCTATTACAAGTGCTAAAGGATGGACATCACCATTGATAGTTCCTGGGAGCTCACGAGCTCTCTGGAAGAGATGACAAGTCACAGCTGGGCTGCAGATTTGCTGGGCGGGGAGTGGGCTCGGTTTCCCCACCTGTGGCATGTGGGGATTAGCCCAGCTGGTATCCTCCAGGGATGTCTTGACAGTGGAGGGTTGTGGTACATGGGCGCACACGGGGGTGCTGATGCTGGGGGATCGGTGTTTCCATTTTACTGATGGGCTTGGAGGGCTCCGAGAGGGACATTCCCAGAGTCACACAGCTGTTAAGCAAGTGGCAGACTTGGATTCAGACCCACGTCTAGGTTCAAGCCACCATGTGATCGCAAGTTCTTAGCTTCATGGGGACTTGCTCTCCACCACTGCGAGCAGATACAGAGAGGATGGGGAGCCCGGTGGCTGGATGGAGACCGGGATGGACAGGTCAGGCAGGAGGAGGCACCGTTGCTGGCGTGCAGGTGCCTGTCGTGTTCTCTAACTGGGTCCCTAAGCGGGTGCATCTTCTTTCTCGCTCCCCAGTGCCCTCGGCCAGCATGACCCGCCTGATGCGCTCCCGCACGGCCTCTGGCTCCAGCGTCACGTCCCTGGAGGGCACCCGCAGCCGCTCCCACACCAGCGAGGGCACCCGCAGCCGCTCCCACACCAGCGAGGGTGCTCGCCTGGACATCACCCCCAACTCCGGGGCCACTGGCAACAGCACCGGGCCCAAGTCCATGGAGGTGTCCTGCTAGGCGGCCTGCACCACGGCTGCCCCTGGACTCTGGGCTTGCGCAGCTGCCCTTTCTCTGGCCCTTCCCGCCCCTGCCTGCCACACCACACGTAACTCGTATTAACCCAAAGCTTATGGTGTAAGAGAGCTCTGGGGGAGCACACAGTTAGACTGGGTTTGTCAAGGGCGCCTTTCCCAGCAGGGGCAGGGTGGGTGGACCAAAGGAAAAGAAGGATCTCAGTGTCTGTGCTCATGGCCGGGCTGGCCTGATGGCCATCCCCCACCCCCTCTCAGAGACGCCGAACTGCCAAAAACAAGACACGCCGTCCTAAACACTTCCTAAATCCAGGCCTAGGCTGACCTGAGCATCCTGGTTCTAAAGGGCACTTTGTCGGAAGCCAGCCCCCTCTCCTTCCTGTTTCTTCTCCAACTAAAGACAAACTGACCCAGTTTCGGGAAGCAGAACCCTGTTCTGATTTGGGGAGGGGGAGAGCAGCAGATTGTAGGTAGCTCTTTTTGAACTCCAGGAAGCAGGAGAGAGGTCGAATTTACGTGGAGGCTAGAATGTTTAGAAAAACAAATCTACGCAGTTGACGTGAAGACATAGATTTTCAAATTTAGTGTATATATCCACTTTTTCATGCCAAAACATACAAGCCTGTTCTTCTGGCATCCTTTCAATGGACAGTGAAAGTGGGCAGCAAAATCTCTGGGCTTTCCAAAGAAATGGTCTTGGCAAACATTGGTGTCATTGGATCGGAGCCCTTGGCTCTGCTGTCTGCCACCGCCTCCGCAGCCCCGACTTCCCACCCCGAATACGTGAGTGATGATTTCGTTCATGGGGAAGATGACTTGGGTTTGTACTTACTTTCTTTGACATGGAGGGAAACATTCCAAACAGCCCTACGAGGCTGTGATGAGTCTCCACGCAGTGGGGCGGGGGATGGGGGTGGGGCAGGGGGTTGGGGTGGGGGTGGTATTTGGTTTATTAGATGTAAGGGATTTCTGTGGTTGTGATGGGATCCAGGGCAGTCAGATTTCAGTCGATCCCACCCCGGTTCCCAGGAATCTTGGGTGATTGAGTTAACTCCAGCTCCCAATCTCTGACTAGTGGGGTTGAACCTGGGTGTGACAGCCGAATGTCTCTGACTTGGTAGCATCACTGCATCTTCAGGGAGACCCGTTTGCCCCTGCAGGGGGTGGGGGTTCACACGGGGAGTGTAGGCTGAGAAGATGAAAGGATTTTGCCTTCCCCTCTTCCCTGCCCCTCTAACTTTTTGCTGAATGCAGCGGCGGCACTGACAGTTCTGGGCAACATCAGCGTCGCTGTCAAGTTTCTGTACTACTGGCTTTTGATTTTCATTTTGGCTAACCATGGGTGATCTTAGAGGAGGTTCGATCCGGGTGGGATGAATCTGTGCGAATCAGCCACTGGGGCCTGGTGCTTTCCAGGACCCTACAATTGGTTAGAAGGAAGTAATCAAGACTTCTAGGTAGCTGGAGGGGCAGTGACTCAGTTTCTTGCCCCTACCATCCAGAGGCTTCCCCCCAACCCCCGACTTGTGCAGAAAGGTCAGGGGCCAGGGCAGGAGTGGCTGACTCGAGTTGTAAAACTGTTCTGTACACGTCTTTCCAAAGGAGTTTCTTAATGAGATATTTGTATTTATTTCCAGACCAATAAATTTGTAACTTTGCAGTGGCTTGTGTCTTCTTTCTCTGAGAGTGTGTGTGTAGCCCCACAGTGGCGGGAGGGGTCCTTCCTTACCTGGGGCCTCCCAACGCCTGCCTTAGGACATCACTGTCCCCTAAGACTACAATGCGAGCTACCGATGTAAGTTTACCTTCTCTAATAGCCGTATTTGAAAAGGTAGAAACAAGTGAATTTTAATATGTTTCCTTTAACCCAGCATATCCAGAATATCAACCATTTCAACATAGAATCAGTATGACAATGATTAAGGTAATTCACCTTTATGCTAAGAAAATCAGTAATTCACACCACAGCACCTCTCAATTCAGACCAGCCCTATTTCGGGCGCTCCATAGCTCAGACGGCACAGCAACAAAGGGTTAAAGGTTTTCAATCCATATTTAGAAGGAAACATCTCATGTTTTATTTTTATTACAACAAAGCATGTGATAAAACCACTCCCTTTCTCACACCCAATGACAACCATTATAATGCTTGTTTCTACTATACTAAAAAAAATTTAAACACAGCAGGTTTTAATATGACCTGTTAACTTAGGCGGCTTGGGATTAGTTTAAAATTTGTAGAAGAATTGGAAAGATGGTACAGAGTTCCCATATACCCCACACGGAGTTTCCTCTGTTAGTAAGACCTCACTTTGCTATGGTGCACTGGTCACAACTAAGAAATCAGCATTGATAATTACTATTAACTAAGCTCCATACTTCATCGGAATGTCACTACCTTGTCGCTGTTCTTTTTCTGTACCCGGATTCCATCCAGGATGCCACACTGTATGTGTCCTTATGTCTCCCTAACTTCTCTGGGTCTGTAACGGTGTCTCCCACTTTCCCTGCTTTAGATGACCTTGATAGCTTTGAGAAGCGCTTCTCAGGCATTTTGTAGACTGTCCCTCAGTGAAGGTTTCTATGATACTATTCTCATGGCTCCACTGGGGCAATGGGTTTTTGGAAGGAAGATCGCAGAGACAGAGTGCCATGCCAACAGCGTGATGAGTCATTGGGAGTCCCCACTCACTCCGTGGACCCTGATCACCTGGCTGAGGCAGGGTTGGCCAGGGTCCTCCACTGCCCTGTTAACTTTTCTGCTTTCCCACACTTGTTCTTTGGAAGGAGGTCACTAAATTGCTGAAGACAGACCCCACTCAAGACTGCCTTCCCTTTTAAATAGCTACCCTGCTGTTATTTATGCGGGATTTTCATCACTTAGTGGGAGAGTTTCTTCAAGTGTAATTTGCTATAAATTCCCTATAAAACTTGATGTCTGCGTTATGGTACAGGGAGGGGATATGCTGTAATTTCAGAAACGAATTTGGGCTAACAAAGAGTTGTTACTGCAGCACAGAAGGGTAAGAAGGCTTTCCTAGCCACGGGGACTGTGTGGACCCCGGTGCGGAGGAGGGAAGATGTGGGCCTCTGTGAGGAGCCTGTAGTGTAGATGGGTGCGGGTGACCAGGCAGATATCTGCCATGGTGTGATTTCAGTTAGTGATATTGGGGTGTGTTGCCTACGCTTAAATGGGGGGGGGTACGCTAAACCACAATCCGATTAGTCAACACAAAGATGCATTTTATCCTCATCCCAGTACACGGCCCCTGGATTCTAAACATGGACCACGGGTCGGAGAACCCCATGTTAGGGAAGCCTGCTTTACACACAGCAGAAGGAGCTTTTCCCACACTCACTAGAAAACCCCTTTTCTGCATCAGGTCCTGCGCGGGAGTCAGAACAGAGAGAGGGCGGGTAATGGAAGAGCCAGGAAGCCAGCGGTGGGTGCCTAGATTGGCTTTGGGAGTGGGAGCGTGGCGCAGCCACTGCTGGACCCGCCATGCTCACAGCTCGGGGCTCGGGCTTCCCCCGGGGGAAGAGCTGTTGCAGGTGCTTGCATGCACCAGATGGCTATTGAGAGACACTACACTCAGAGGATTTCTGCCTGCTGGGAGACCTATTTCTGTTCTCCTAGCTGCCTGTTTTGGTTTCTATCCCCTAACCTTTGGGTTTCAGTAATAGCCAGCAGAGCAAGTGTGCATGGAGATGAACCATGTGCAGGATCTGTAGGGACATTGGGGACTTGACCTGCCACCTTCTTCATTGTCCCTTCTCAGACACAGCCTCACTGTTGGTCATTGGATTGGTCCCTTGATGTAACCCCGATCCTTCTGGTTACATACTTGTCTTGGGCTAGCTGGGCTGTGTGGAAACCTTTCAGGTGTGTCCCACGTGGAATCCAGGGGCAAAGGGTAAAACTTGGCCTTATGAGGTTGGAGACCAGATGAGGGAGGGGCCTTGGGGAGCCCATCAGCCTCGTTCTTTGTGCTTCCCAAGATCAGATTTCTCTGTATCTCCTAAACCTAAAATGGTAATCCTAACCCAAGGGCTCTGACCTTCAGGTTCTTGGACATGGAACCAGTCAGGTCTTTGTGTCTCCTAAGGGAAAGAAAACCACTGATTCAGCTTGACTTAGGTGTGTACTTGCTGTCCAATCAACTATGACTGGGTTCACCCTCCTCCCACCCCCTCCCCCCACATAAGTGAATCAGGGGTTCTAAGCAGTGGGTGTAGTTATAACAGGTGAACTGCTATGCACTCTTCATGGTTAAATTCATTGATAGCTAAACTCACTGTTACAAGACAGAGCCTTCCACACCCCTGCTCTGAGAAGTATTTTCCTAATTACCCGCCCTCTGCAGGAAGCACCCACCATGTGACAAGGGTGCCCTGCAGAGCCCGACCCAGTAGAATGTGCAGTATTTCAGCTGTGGGTTACCTTGGGTGTCCTTTTCTCCAGCAATGGCATTTCTTCTGTGTCCCTAGGACCAGCACAAAATGCCCAGCACATTTCAGCAGGTTTTTGTTAAATGGAGAAACACTTCCTCTAATAAGTGTAATATTTAGCAAGTATTATTTTTCTTTCCCCTTTTTATTCTTTATCTCTCAGGATGAGTGATCCTTGTTTCACAGATAGGACAGCCAGGTTCAGAGAGATTAGATGACTTGTCCAGGCATTTCTAAAATGGACCACGTCCCTTGCTGCCTTTAAGAACAGTTCACTGAGCACATGACGAATATAACCAACGATTGAAGTGTCGGGATTGCAGAACATCGGCTGAGTTCCCCAGGCTGAACCTACAGATGCCCTCAAGGCTTGTGTTGCTTGTGGAGATGTTTGTCCCTCTGTTAAATAGTCCCATCCAGGCTCTGGTGACCTGTGTTTTACCGTATCTTCTACCTGCCTCTCAATTCTTCTGTCTCCTCTGTTGGCTGGCTGACATTTTCTCATGGCTATCAATAAGCCTCCTTTTAGTAGCTGCCTCTGCCTCTGTATGTGATGGACTAAGAAATCCAATTTGTTCATATTGTGTGAAAAATGAGAGCAATCCAGTTTAGCACAGAAATCTGGAAACATTCTTTGTAGAATATATTATATGAAAACATATAGGGGCATGGTGCCAGATTTGTCATCTCCTTAGAAGACATTTTCACTCAGTTCTACACTGGGAAAGAACCTAGATTCAGCTGGAACCCAGACTTCTCAATACGTAGGATGATTTGGCATTTTCCTTTCATTGGGGAGGGGATCAAGAACACTGACTTCCCCTGCCATGTACTGTTTTACCTTTGCGATAAAATGCTCTGGCCATTTCCTCCAAATGCCGTGTTCCCCAAACTTCACCCACCTGATAAGTCATCATAAATTTCTCCCCAAATCTGTACATTTATCTTAATCTGGGGCATCCATAGGACTCCATGATCTAACTTCTGGTTTTGAGAAAGTTATGCTTCAGGATAGAAATGTTCTTGGAAAGAATTCATGAGGCAATTATTCTTTTCTTGGAATTGACTCTCCTCTGACTTTATTATAGTAGCAGAACATGTTTTAGAGGTAGTGGAGGAGGGAGATTTGGCCAGAAGGCATCACGCATGTCTTTCACCCCGTGTACTCAGCCGTATGCACATCTGTTCACACAGCAGGGCGCGTGCTATGTGCTGCACTGGGTTTGGGGGACAGACAAGAATGGCACCTTTCCTGCCTTAAAGAACCAGTGTTTAATCAAATTATAACATCTATGAAAACATCAAATAGAAAAGGTGAGGGAGCAAGCAGCATATGATTAAAGTAGAAAAACACTCAACTGAACATTGCTGACCCTTTCTCTTTATATTTGCTGCTGTGAAACAACGATCTAAAAAAGCAAAATATACAGACACATACACTGACTCGAATTTTTACTATACTTTTGCTGACTATCCCCCATTCACAAGGACACGGACACGGACAAGGACACAAGGACACGGAAACATCAGCCAATAATAACTGGTTTTGTTAAGCGCTTATGGTCTGCCAAGCTCTGTTCCAAAACTTTGCATGTCCTTTGCATTTTATTCATCACGGCATCATCCCCACGAGGCAGGTGCAGTCATTTCCTGCATTTCACAGCTGGGGAAACTGAGGCTCAGATGGGTGCAGGGAGGAATTCCAGGAAGGAATAAGGTATGAAAAGATCCACTTGACTCCCAAGGTCAGAGCCGTTTCCATTTCATCCCGCAACCTTCCTTATCTACTCCCACCAGTTCCTAAGGCAGCTGGCAATAGATACCCACCCTCTCCATCTCTCCATGGGTCCAAGCCCTGCTTACCCAGCCCCTGACACATGCCGCACACTGTGCGAGGCCAAGAGGATGCAGTCATAGTCCTTGATCTCAAGGCACCCACAGTCTAGTTGGAGATGTAGAAGGGCACTGAATAAATGAGTCAGTGAATGAACGAATAAACACAAGAATGCTAGTTTCCTTTTTGTATTTATGGGAGGTGTCTTCCAGCCCAGACCCATTTGTAGTACCGACCTTTTGTGAATTCCAGAATTCATCCTTCTGAGCCCATCTCCAAATGTTTAGCTATTTTTATAAATGTAAACTATCTGGGACCTAACTTTCCACCATCTGCACATTTATCAGATGTACTAAATGCTCCGTCTTTGCGCATCATAACTGAATGTACAAGAAAATCCACCAAATCCAGGAGGTAATTTTGCTGATGATTTATTGCTTTAAGGAGAAAAACATAAACGGGGAATTTGAGCAATGAAAATCCTTCACATTGAACAAACACGTTCTGTGCTACACAGATCATGAGAAAATGAGGAATGTTGTAAAACATCACAGATTGCCCAAGTGCTGTTTTTTCCTCTATTGGGAAATTCTGAGACATTCCTTCTTTTGTACTTCTTAGTCCCTTGCAAAAATGGCAGTAGGAATACTTAAATACGAAGTCACAGTCTGAATATGATATAGACGTACATACACACACACAGACACACACGCGTGTATGTGTAGAGATACACAGGTGACCATTCTGACCGTTCACGAGTCCCAGCTGTGCAGGCTTACTGCAGTTACTTTGGATCAAGATAAGTCCTTAAAAAGGCAGTGACCTAATTCAATAGACTAGTCGGGGGCTACATTGCTTCCCCATTATCTCTAACACAGTACAATGTTAATGAAATTATATCAGTTGGATCATATCATTCGAATCTACTTTCTTTACTCACTCCCTGAATCACTTTGAAATTAACATTGTAATTGTTGTCTTGTTGTCAGTAAAGCGTCTCTTATATCTTTTAATTGGGGGGCATGCCGGCTGGGCTTAGTGACAGGAAAGACGGCTCAGGTGTCAGACTGACCCAGGTTTGCAATCCTGGTCCACAGTTCACTAGCTGTAAGACACTGAGCAAATAACCCCTGTGAGCCCCAGTGTCCTACCTCTAAAATGGGGCAATGATTATAATGCTACACCACGTAGGTTTGCTATGAGGATTAAATAAGTCGTTGCAGCAAAGCAGCTAGCCCAGGCCTGATCCTCAGGGTGCTCCCCAAATGCTGAGGATGAAGGTTTAGCAAGAAGCAGTGGTTTGGTGAAGGCAGGTTTCCTCTCTCCGCCTGCTGGAGCATGCCCAAGAAATTCACTCTGAGCACAAATGCGAATTTCTTCAACAAAGGTTAACAAATCCTTTCTTTGCCTTGTCCCGGAACATGGGACTGGAGTTACGCAGGACTAGAGAGCTCGTTTATCTCACCCACTGGATGCCCCAGCCAATGAACACTCGGTTGGGAGTCATTCATGCTCCGCCTGGAGGCCTCCCGGAGAGGAAGGCCCAGTGGAAAAAGCTGGAATTTGGGCTCCAACGTGTTTTGGCGGAATTCTCAGCTTCGCTGAGTCTCAAACTTTTCGTGGATAAGATGGGGACAAGAGGCTTACTTACAATTATTGTGATCATGAGTAAGATAATTAAAAAGCTAGCAAAGTGGGTGGCACCACGTAAGCTTTCAATAAAGGGACATTTTGCATTGGGACTATTATTCCTAACTTTGACTGAGGTAGGTTGACCCAGGGCAGAGTGACCGTGGCCGCTAGAGAGATCTTCCTTACTTACATTTGCCCCGAAACTCCTTCCCCGTGACTTCGGAACATGGGGCTGAGGCGTTCCCTGCGCTGGACCAGTCTGTTTCTCAAAACACGCTGGCCCACTCGGTCCCAGGATAATCCCAGATTTCTCCAGCCTGGCTTCCCAGGATCTTGGAAGCTATGCTCATTTTCCCAAATTGGGATGCAAACTCATTAAGAACCTAGCTCTTGGGTTTCTGCTGAATTTCAAATGCGGTTAGCTGTCACCTAGTCCTTGTCATTTACAGATCTCAGTCCGAGAAAATCTGACACACATGGGCTCCCAGGAGAATCTATTCATGGGGTGAAAGCTCTTCACACAAGAATTCTTTTTTTTTTTTTCAATAAAAATATACCTTTCTTTAAATATTAAATGCCTCTTTCCCTATGGCGCTCAAAATAAGATTTGGCTGATGAAAATTAGGTTGGCATGTACCTTTGGAAGAAGAAAGCCTCTGAGTGAAAGTAGGAAAACATACAAGGTTTTTTTTAATTCATCAAATATGTGTTGAGCACCACTGTATGCCTTGTACTGGACCAGGCATGTGGGAGGTACAGTCAGGCGGGCCCATTCCCACCTTTGGTCCTCCTCCAGAATCCCTCCACACACCACACAGAATTCCCTGAGGAACAGCTTACACATCCCTCATCAGCAGCACTGGGTAGACAAAATCATCTTTTAAATGCACGATGAGCGCTGGTTCTGATTTGGGGGGGAGATCAGGGAATTCGAGGTTTTGTCTAGCCCATATATTTTTGGATGCTCAGGCACCTAAAATATCAGAAAGTCAGATACTCTTCTCTTGGAAAAGGAGCCATAGAGACAGTGAAAAGAGTAAAAAAGGACAACGTGAAGTCGGTGATGCCGACATATTTTCCCACTCGACACGTCTGGAAGCTGTAAACGCAGGGGCAGCAACGTGGCTTAGAAAGTCAGCTCGACTTGGATTAGAATCTCCACTCCCTCTCTCACCAGCCGGGCGACTTTGGTCAAGGCTCCATACCTCTCTGGGCTTCCATTTCACATTTGTGAGAATAGAAATAATACTGGGCACTTTTCAGCATGATTGCAAAGCTTCTCCACGAGCTAATGCACAGAGAGCACTGAGAACTAGATCTGGGACCCAAAAGGTACTAAATAAAAGAATTAGAACAGTAAATATTTATATTCTACTAATAACATAAATAATAACCTCGTTTTAACTCCTAACAACTTTCTTTTCTGTTTTAGCTCCAGCTCCTTTTTGGCTTTTGATTCCTGTTAAATATATTTCGTTCTAAACAACTGGTTTACCTCTGTCTTCACACCAGAACTGGGTTGTTTGGGTCCACAGACCCGAAGTCTGTGGAAGGGGCCCCTGTGGCAGAAAGAAAGGTGTCCTGCACCGAGGGGGTGACCCGACTCTGCCGCCCCAGGCTCATGCTGAGTGGCTCCAATTCTTGGTTTGACCCGCATCCAGCCTGTAACTGTGTCGGTTATTTCAAGTTGGGCTGGTCCGGACAACGACGGGGTCTCCCAGGGCTCTGCAAGAGCAGAAATGCCCTCGGATGCCATTCCCAGGGGCCCCAGGGGCCATCCTAGGGGCTCTACCAATTCCCACGAGCCCCCAGCAAAGAGAGGGTGTGGATGCAAGGCCAAGCTGGCCGGCTGCCCCTGTCCTGTGGGTGAGCATCAGATTCATTGCTAGGGGCTGACACTTCTGAAATTTTCCCATGAAAAAGAATGAAAGTTATCAGATTGCATTTCTAACCAAAATGAATCCAATTTTTACCCTTTACTGGGCAGGGATGAAGACAGACTTAATCTCCACAAAGCCTAGGTTAATGAACACAATTTTCCATTAAATTTCAAAACCAAACAACCAAACACTTGGCAAATATTTGGTGACTTTAGGGTGCACAGATCTTCGGAATCCAAGCTCCGTGGGTGGGCTATGGTCAGAACTGTCTGTTAGGGTGCCCCTTGGCAGGACTCAGATGATAGACTGGTCCAGGGTCCTACATCCCATCTGTCCTTCTGAATAGACCCAAAGAGTCTCATGGCTCGTGATCGAGAACAGAAATGAGTGATATTAAGTGCCTAGCTGATGCTGTTCCTCGGGACTCCGGCGAGATCCGGCAAGACTTGCGGTGAATTGGACAGGCTTGGGTTTTGTCAGAATCTTTGGAGATGGGCACTTTGTCTGGAGTGTATGCCGCATGGGATATTCGGGTAGATGGAGGCAGGACAGGGGGCCAAGGATCTGGACCAGGATAGTTAGAAGTCAGTGAGAAGTGGATGAAGAAGGCTCAAGTGTGGGCCTCAGAGGGCTGGCTGGTTTGCAATCGCTGGGCCAGGCCCCGAGCCCTGTGTTTTGTGTCTGCCTAATTGGCAATTTCTGAGAAGTCAGGGTAGGACTCTAAGTCAGCAAAGATATCGTTGGGATTCCTACAACTCAGGTTGCAGAAGCAAGCATTAATCCATAGGACCTGGCGGGAGAAGCCGGGCCCATCGGGACATTGGAAGGAGACATGGATGGTCTTGGACTTGTAGGGGATGCAGCACCTGCTGTCCGTGCAGACCCCACAGTACTTCGGCCGGTAGGAGCGTGTGCTGATGCACCCGGCGAGGTTGAAGTTCATGGGTGCCTCTGGCTGGTACACGGCCAAACACTTCTTCCCTTCCTGCAGAAAAGGTGGTTGCAGCTGGGTTGCTCAGAGGATGAAGAGCCACCATCCTCCCCACCAAGCCCTCAGTTCTCCGTCTGCACTCACCATGTGGGACCACTCCACCTTTCCTTCAGGTCTGTGGCTCCTTCAAGCTGGGAAGGACCTCCCCAAACACAGCAAGGCCCAGCCACACTATGCAGGACTAACTGTGGACCTCTCAGGGAATTGTGTCATGGGGGGGTCCCCACAACCCCAGTGTCCTCTTGCCTACATTTCCTCGCCAATGCCCGAGACTCAGTCACCAACAGAGAATGCCCGTGTTGCTTTTCCAGCCCACCCAACACCCCAGCTCGTGACTAGCAGACCCATCCCGGGGCTCCGTGACTGGGGGGATGCACTTTCCCCCAACCTGTTCCTCCTCCATTCCACCTCCAGCCTCTCGCACATACCCTCCTCACCTAACTTGTCCAACCAGAGTGTGTTCTGTCTCTCCGCTGGGATGTGGGCCGGTCAAGAGCAGGGTCCTTTCTAGGACTCTACAGTCCAAGTCTGTGCTTGGTACACAGTAGGCACTCACAAAGCTCATTGCGGGAATGGCTCTACTATGGACCGGTGCCATGCCGGAACAGGGAGGGTGGTGGTACAGAGCCAGGCTCCGTGGGGGCTGAGGCGTATACGGTTTGAGAAACCATCTGAGGTTCATAATTGTAAAACCAAACTTGGGTGGGAAGTGTGAACCAGCAGCGAGGACTTGAGACATTGGTGTAGATCCTCGAGAGCCCCAGGCAGTCACCAGCTGAGGACCTTTGCTCCTGTTTCTCCTGCTGCTGGTAGCCTTTCCATCCATGCTCTCAGCGATACCACATCGGCTGAGTGCCTACTGTGTACCGACCCCCAAGTACAGGAAAGCCAGCATGGCCAAGGTCACTGATCAGACAGGGAGAAGAAGAGAGAAGGGGAGAAGGAGAAGGACGAGGTGGAAGGATCCTGTTGGTCAGCACGGAGATCATGGGAGCAGGGGCGGAGGACAGCCAGCGAGGAGGATCTGGGGGTTCTGAGTTGCCTTGTCTATGAGGCCCCCCTCTCCTCAGCAACCCCAAGACATTATCAGTGCTCCAAAAATGGAGTCAGTGCTGAGTTTTTCTTTTCTTTTTTTTTCTTTTCCGGGCAAGGCAGATGACCAATCCTAAGATGGAAGTGAGGAGGCCTCGAGAGAGGCCAATCAGACTCATTTCTAACTGCGGTGACCTACTCTATCCCAGATCCTTTGTTTTAAGGATCTTAGACTCTGCAAGCTGGAGGAGATGCCTGAGACCAACCCCATGTTTTACTGATGAGGGGCCTGGGGCTCCAAGACATAGAGAGCGGCCCCCGTCACGTGCAGCGAGCAATAGACGGGCACTGAGCCCCCACTGTCCTGAGCCCTGTTTCCAGCTCCCCGACTGCCCAGCATGGCTGTCATGCCTGTGCCGGGGGCCGTGTGGGCTGGAACAGGAGCAGAGGGGGAGCGGCAGTCAGCGAGGGCCCTCCCTGTTACCACGCATCTTCCCATTTCACAAAGGGCCCCCGCAAGGAAGTCCAGCGGCCAGGCTTGAAGCAGGCTCGACTGTCTGCAAGTCCAACACGGCTCCCCCTTCCCCGCCCCCGTGAGGCCGACTGACCTTGATGTGTGGACGGATGTCCACGTCACAGGGCCGCAGGCTGCACAGGCGGCTCTCTTGCTCAGGCCAGCAGTGGCTGTTGACATTGGAGATGCGGCTGGAGACCCCCAGGCCGCAGGTGGTAGAGCAGGGGCTCCAAGGGCTCGTGTAGGTGAGGCAGTTCCTGTGCCACGACTCCATCTCACCCGTGGCTGCTGGGGATAGGGACCAGACCGCCCATGAATTTCCAGCTGCTGGCAGCCCCTCTCTTCCTCCTGAACCTCCAAGGGGAGGAGGGGAGGGCTGTCGACCCCCAGCCGGAAAGGGCAAGTCCACTTCTAACCATCATGGGTCCCCTGGCAAAGGAGGACCCGTTCTGAGCTCCTATAGTTCTCCGGAGGAAAGACCATCTTTACAGACAGGTGGACCGGAGTGCAAATCCTACCATCCTATTCAACTACCTATAAGCTATCGGGTTCCAGATAATTCCCTCCGGGTCTCAGTGTCCTCACTGGAACAGCCTTCCATGGCTGGTGTGACAATGAGAGGACCTGTTGACTGAGTATATATCAGGCATCTGCAAGGCGCTGGGATTTGAAGAATGGAGGGTAATGGCCCTGTCCCTGCAGAGGTCAAGTTTAGATGGAGGAAATCAGAGGGAGCGTCTATACGCTGGTGCCTGATATCTAAGCCAGGTGATGCTGAGAGCAGAGTGGATAAGGACACACACAGCCATGTCCCCTGGGTTCAACTCTGAGCAAAGCCACTCAGTAGCTGAACTTCCATAACGCCCACCTCCTGCCTCCGTCTCCCCACCTGCAAGCGGGGTTTGGCGATAGCATCTTCCTCCCAGGGCTGTGGATCGGAAGACACATTCATACCTGTGAAAGCCAGGAGCCATCCCTGGCTCAGTAAATGTGAGCTCGTATGGTTTCTTGACTGTTAACTACACAAGTCTTGTCTGGCTCTATTTTTTATTTTTTCTTTTCTAAACTTTTTTTTTTTTTAATTTCTTTTCAGCGTAACAGTATTCATGTTTTTTGCACCACACCCAGTGCTCCATGCCCTCTCTAATACCCACCACCTGGTTCCCCCAACCTCCCACCCTCCGCCCCTTCAAAACCCTCAGGTGGTTTTTCAGAACAATTAACATGGAGGCCATGGGGAGATGGAGAGGAGAAGGGAGTTGAGGGAAATTGGAAGGGGAGGTGAACCATGAGAGACTATGGACTATGGACTTGTCTGGCTCTCTTAATGTATGAATCGCAGCATCTAGAACGTGGCGAGTAGTCTCTGAGTAATGGAAAAATGGACGGAGCTTGAGACGGAGGCAGATAAAAAGCCAGGAAGATAGAAGATGGATCCCACAGAAAGACCATGAAGAGGACGTCAGTCAGTCCAGCCCTGACACACGCACATGCACCCAGCAGGTGGGTACTCACGGGAAGCCAAGAAAGGGACAGGCAGAGGGAGAGAGGAGGAGGGACAGACGGTAGGGTACAGGAGAGAGGGAGGGAGGGGGGAAGGAGAGGGAGACAGCGTGCTTTGCATAGTTTATGGGGGAGAACAGGAAGGGGCAGGAAAGGAATAAAAGAATGGGGGAGGGGCAGAGAGTGGGAAAGGGAAATGTAGGAAAGAAGAGACCCTAATGGAGTTGGAAGGTGGGAGGAAGGGGAAGGGGCAGTGCTGGATACCCACTCCCACCAAGGTAACAGGCGTGCAGGGAATAGGGCTGGATGAAGGCAGGAATGAATGCGTGAGAGAGGGGAGCTTTGAGAGACTTGAGAGATGGAAGAAAACAAGGAGAAACATTTGAGGACAGAGGAGAGTGGGGCTGGGATGAGCGAGGTGTGAGCTCAGAGGAGGGAGGTGGAGGGAAGGATTTGCCTGGGAGGATAAAAGGGCTTTGGTTTCTGGGTCACCCACAAGCAGGCGGGGGCCCTGCTTGTACTGGGTCAGAACGGGGTCACTGGGCCACATACAATGGGCAGACAGACACTGCCCCACCCCCAGTGACCCATGTGTAGCTCTGCCAGTTGGGGAGTGTGGTGGGCCAGCTTCCCCTGCCACCTCCTCCTTGGACATGGGACGGCCTCTTCATGGGGCTGGCTCAGACCCTGGGAGCCACCCCAAACCCCTCCAGAGAGACTGTGCACCCCTGAAGGGCGGGGAGGGCAGGATCACCCTCTTCCCCCGCCCAGGCATAGCCACTTAGGGTACACAGCTTGGTGGCGGGTCTCCATCGCCTGGGCTGGTCCCCTCGCACCCCAGCTTTCCAGGGTGTTCTCTGGGACACCTTCTTCACTTGGCTCCTGCAAAACCTCTTTCTCCTGTTTTCATCCTGCCTGTTAGATTTGTCTTTCTCAGCTTTCTTCTCTCCCTCGCCTTAAATGGTGGTATCTCCAGGGCCACATGTGTGGTTCTCCCCCAGACAATTGGGTGCCCCAGGGTACAAACAGCAATGTCTGGAGGTATTGGGGGTTGTTGCTACTTGGGGGGGGTGAGGTAGAGGCCAGAAGTGCCACTAAACATCACACAGTGCACAGGGCAGGCCTCCCCACAAAGTCTCAGGTTCGAAATATCTGAACCCAGGCTGAGAAACGCTGCTCAGCACAGCCTCCTTGAACAATCTCATGCACTTAATAGCTTTTTAAAAAATTACCAGCACCCTCAGAACTCCTCTGGGCCATGCCAGCCTCAAACTCAAGCTGTTTCAAACAGTGCAATTCTTCATCCCCAATGTGTCCCTCTCATTTTCTCTCCCAGGTCACGATGAGCCCCGAGAGTCACTGTCTACCCCTCTCTTTCCTTCATTCCACAAAGTGGATTGAGGCCATGGCCTCAGGCTTACTTCTCACGCACCGTCTCTCACTTCTGTCCCTTCCTTGCCACTTCCACTTCCATTGCCCTAGCTCAGATCCTCATTGGCCCAACCATCCATCCATCCATCCATCTGCCCATCCATCCATCCATTTATCCATCCCTAAGACAACTATGGATTTGGTACCTGCTAAGAGTCTGGCATTGGGCTATTGCAGCAAGCAGTGGTAAAACCAGTGGGCTTGTCCCTGTCCTCCCTTTCCAGGACTTCCCTCTGGCCTGTGTACCTGGCTGCAGCCTCACCTGCCCATCTATCCTCCATTGTGAGGGAAGCCACCTACCCTCTCTCCTGCTCTTATACCTTGTATCCCTGCTTCTCCTCCTCGGGTGCTGCACACGCCCCAGTCTAATCTCTTCAGTAGGATAACAATGAATCCCACGGATCTGGCTTTGTTCTTGATAAAGCTCTTCCTCATTTTGTGTTGGGAGGACCTCACAGAACAGTTGGGACACATAGAGAAATAGGGTCGCAGAGGACAGGTGGCTTTGCCAAGGTCACACAGCTAGTGGGGCAGAGGTCTGGGGACTGGGAGTCATTGCACGTGCATGCCAATCATAGGGAGTCAGGGCCCCGCCCTCTCCTCCCCCTCCCCTCCCCCCTCCTATCACCACCCCCTCCTGCGCTCTGTCCTCCCACTCCTCGCACCCACCTAGAGCACCGGTGTGGCGCTGTGCTGTCTTGCGCGGCCTCCTGGCATCGTGGTCGCATACCCACTGCTGGCAGCAACGACCAGGGATGCTGACCCTCCGGGGACGATGGCACCAGAGGCGCGGGGGGCGCGCGCGCAGGCACAGGGGTGTGCAGCCCACTGCGCCATCCACACACGTGCAGTTGTACTTGCAGTTGGGCTGGAAGGACTGGCCATTGGTGTAGCGCACCCCATCCAGGACGCAGCCCACGCCGACCACCTCTGCAAACACATGTGCCGCTCGGGTCAGGCCCGCTGGGCATCGTGCCCTCATGGGGACACGGCCCGCCCCTGGACCTGGCCCCGACCCTGGGGAGTGCCCACCCTGGGGGCTGGCAGGCCGGCAAGGCAGGCAGGGCACAGCCAGCCCCCCTTCTCCCTCCCAGAGTGTGAGGTGCAACTCAGTCACCAGCCTTCAAGTGACCCTGGGGCCAGGCTGGCCGTGGTGAGAAGACGGAGTCTGGAAGACAGAGTCTGGTCGGGACTGGAACCTGTGCCACCTGTCCTGTCCCACCCATCCTGTCCCAGCACATGGCACAGAGCTGAGCACTGATGAAGACCTCTAGGGCCAGGGTTCTGAGGGGCCACGTGTAAAACCTATCATAACACTTGGGAACAAAGATCCTACTCATTCAAGGCAGGCATTTATGGAAGGTTCTGGGCTCTGGAGATACAGTGAACAAAATGGACAAAACCATGCCCTCATAGAGCTTCCCGTGCAGTGGGTGCCACTCAGGAAAGATGAAGAGATCATACAGAGAACTGAAGGCTACCAGTGTCAGGGAGAACAACGGAAAGGAGGGGTGGATGGGGTGGGAGGTAGTGGCTGATTAAGGCAGACCCCTTGCCTGTGTGATGCTGCTTCAGCAAAGGGGGAAGGAGGTAAGGAAGTTCGCTGGCACTGGTGTTGGTGGGGGGATCTTTTAGGGAGGGGGGGAAGAGACCTGGGAGGTTAGGGGGTAGCCAGAGATGAGGTGAGAGAGGTCTTCCTTGGTGGCTCAGAACTGTTAGCAGCTAGACGTGCAGTGTGTGCTCCGTAAGGAACTATTGAGTCAACTCATGCTTCACAAGAGCCCAGGAGCTACTGAACAGAACAGGAAGTACGGACAGTCAGGAGGCCACCCCTATAATCCAGGCTGGGGGTGGCCGTGCTCACACCCTGGAGGGACCGGGAGCTCAGCTTCTGGGTGTGTTTGAAAGGAATCGCAGCTGGATGAGATGTAAGGAGCAGAGGAGATGAGTCAAGAGACACTCCTCATCCATAACCTGAGCCCTGGCAGGGAAGCGAAGGATGCTCTGTCCTTGGAGGAGCTGGTTGTGGGGTGGGTGACCTCAAGAGTTTTTCCTTAGACATGAGGTCTGGTTACAGAAGCCTGGAGGGCGGGAGGGACCTGGGGCTGCTGGGCCTGGCCAGCGCTGCCCCCTGGATGCCATGTAGCCTTGAGGACAGTGTGTGAAAATACAAGCATAGGGCTCCCAGGCAGCAGGGGTATCCACCCAAGGAGGGCTAGTTTGGAATCCGAAGTCTGCCCAAAGCTCCGGCGTATCTTCCGAATTTGCTGGCAGGCGGTTGTTGATAGTAATAATCCCAGTATCTAACAGGAGTGCAGTGTTCCTAAGCTCTGTCTCTGTTCTTGGCCACCTGACTTGCTCTGTGACAGACTTTCACGCATTGCTGATTTCGTCCTATAAGGAAACACCACCCCATTTTCACATACAGCAAAACTGAGTCTCAGTGAAGTTGAGTCACGCTCCGAAGACGACACAGCTAGACACAGAGTCTCAGCGTGTGGGGATGCTGGCATGATGGCTGTTTGTCCTGGGAGGTGATCGTGCAGCGAGGAGGCCCAGAAGGAAAGGCACTACCGCTTGCAGGCCATCTGATCTTGTGCCAGGCACCATGATATGTTATCTCATTCAGTTCTCCCATTGACTTCACCAGGAGAGTTTTCTTTTCCCCATTTGATGGACAGGGAGGTCGAATGATTCATCAGCTCACGGTCACCCAGCTGGTGATGACAGAGCTTCACCTCGGTCCCCGGGGATCTGACTCCACAGCCCATTTCCTTCCACCAGACACCAGGAAAGGAGGGGAAATTGGAAAAAAAAACCAAACCAAGGCAAAACAAAACAAAGCAGAGGAAGCACTGGGTGAATCACTCATCCTTTTGTTCTGAGTCACACGCCGACCACGCCCTTGCTCTGGGAAGGTGTGAGCACACGTGTGTGCACATGTGTGAGCACGTTGGTGGATGGGGAAAAGGGAGTGGGCTGAAGCCTGGTCTCTGCCCCTGTTGGGGGAACTTTGGGTGGGCAGGCAAGGCAGTACCAGGTGCCCGGGAGCCCTTAACACAGTGACACCACCTGGGGAGATTTCAAAAATTCTGATGCCCACACCATGCCCCAGAATATGGGGGTGGACCCGGGACTTGATATTTTTGTAATTTTTTTGACTTCAATATTTTTTAAGATTTTATTTATTTATTTATCAGAGAGAGAGAGAGTGCACACAAGCAGAGGGAGCAGCAGGCAGAGAGAGAAGCAGGCTCTCCTCTGAGCAAGGAGCCCTATGTGGGACTTGATCTCAGGACCCTGGGATAATGACCTGAGCTGAAGTTGGACGCTCAACCGACTGAGCCACCCAGGCATCCCTGGCCTTTGATATTTTTTTAAAGATCTCCAGGTGAATTCAGTTTGTAGCCAAGATTGGGAACCACTGCTTCCAAAAGCTGCTCCCAGTCTCCTGGGAATTTGGGGCAGGTGGGGACAGTGGTGGTGCTGGTGGCCCTGAGCAGCCTGCCCACCATTGCCTAGAGTGAGAGTAGGGTAAACGACATGTATGGTGGCTGGACCCACAGCAGACTCTAATGCCCCCACATCGCTTACTTTTGAACTAATGGAAGGACCAGCTCCTGGTGAAACACCGTATCCTATGTAATCTCAGGCTTGCAAGTACCGGAGTAGTGTGGTGAGCCTTCCTCTTACCAAAGGACCTGTAGGAACTCAAATCCCTGGCTCCACCATTAAGGTCTTCACTTTCCTCCCTTCCCTAATGGACTGTCAGCTGCATGGGAGCAAGAACAGGGGATCATGCCATGTTGTAACCCAACTGTTGCATTAGCACCCACCTATTCATAACTGTGTGAATGAATCAAGGGTTGGAGGGATGGATGGATGGATGGATGGATGAATGGAAGGGAGGTGGGGTGAACCTTCATCTGTATTGGGCTACCATGTGTCAGGTTCTTGACATCCCAATCACACAAAGAAGTATTATTTGTCACATTTCCTTGATGACAAAACTAACACTTAAAAGGTTAAGTAGCTTGCCCAAGGTCACCATATCAGTTATGACGCTGGGATTCGAACTTAGATTGTCTATCTCTAAAGACCATGCATGAGCTGTCTACTCCTTTGCTCTGGAAGGAGACTGCCTCCTCCTCTGAGGATGACCATGGGCAAAGGTGAGATAATTTTTACAAGGGAAGGTTAAAACAAAGCAAGTAAAACAATGACCCAGAATAGCCGGTCATATTTGAGGTTTTAATGCAGTCCCTTGTTTACTCTCAACAATCGCATGAGGTTGGTTTGATCGAGCTCCTTACATGATGTGCCCAAGGTCACGTAGCTGGCAAATGGCAGAGCCAGGATTCAAAACCCAGTTCTGTCTGCCTGTAAACTGCATGATCCTTCCAGCAAACCACACTGCTTTCAGGCCTGGCCCAGCTGTATTAAATGCAGAGTAATGTTTGTACAACAAAAATAGCCAAAGAGTGTAATTCAGAGGTCACTCTGCCCATAGAAGTATTTAGTTTGGCCCACAGAATGTTTTGAACAAAAAAAAAAAAAGAAAAAACAAAACAAAACAAAAAAAAAACACTTTTTTTTTTTTTTTTTTGGAACGTGTTGCCAACATTTACAAAACATACACAAATCCGAACTTTTGGATTCTCTTGAAAATTGAGTAGACTAGACAAGACCAAGCTCACTTTTCTGCCTGGCCACAGTGTCTGGTGCCCAGGAGCAGAGACCCCTGGTAACCAAAGCTTGCGTTCACCAAGTTGCCATGATTCACCTTTCTCTGAGTTATATGTGTTGGTGTTGTGACTGCTCATTCTTATGACCTGTCTTTTCTCAGGCTAGTTACATGCACAGCTCCAAGTACAGGTTTAACCTGTCTTGGGGACCATCCAGTAGTTGAGTTGACCATTTGCCACAAGATTATCTGTGGGACTCTTCTTTCTCTTTCCCCCTCAGACCCTGCCTCCTCCTCCATCTTGCCTTAGGGTCTCTTGAACTCAGACACCGTGGCCGCCATTTCTAGGAAGATGTTTCGTAGAGCACTAGCGAGTTGTGTGTATGTGTACACACATACAGGCATGCAATGTGTGTATCTGTGAGTGTGCAGATGTGTGGTGGGGTGGGTGAGTGGTAAAAATCTACCTGGACAAAACAATTCCCTGTGCAAATAAGTTTCAAAAACAAGGGCTTCTTATATCTCCCAATTTTAGAATTTTGCAGTGGATGTGAACATTTAAAACCTCTCATAAATTGTGTAACTTTGTTTATTCCACTATCTGCAAACTTATATGATCAGGGAACCATTGGCAAGTCTAATACCTATTAAAATCTGTGGACCAGTTTTCTTTCTAGGTAAAAAGGAAAGGAAATACCTGGGGGCTCATGGTGAGGTGAAGCTAAGAAGCTATAGTGAGTGAAAGCAAGACCCAAGATACAAGGAGATACGTGTTATGGATGGGTTGGGAAGGTGGTTCTCCAAGCGTCTGGTGGAGAAGGGCAGGTGCGAGAGGCAGTTCCAAGGCCTGCACAATCTCTGGGTCCATGAGAGAATGTCTATGAAGACATGGTGCCAGACATCAGTACAGCTTTAGAGATTAGTAAGATCATAGTGAACTTACTTATCTTTTTAATGACCTTGAAGAACAGCTGTAAAGAAGGAAAGAAATGATGAGACAATCTCCGATAACAAAGGGATTTGAGTAGGAGGTCTCAGCCAGATTTCTTCACCTGGGTATGACGAGAGACTATATGACTTTCTATATGTATGAGCAGTTAGTCTCAAACTTGTGTTTAAATGAGAATCATCTGGGCATCCTGTTAAAGGTGTAGGTGCCCATCTTCACTTCTAGAGAATTTTATTCAGTTAGTCAGGGGTGGGGCTCCAGGATAACATTTTCCACCAACACATCAGATAATTGTGTGCAGCGATGGTGCAAGTTCTGTCTGAGCACACCATTGTGTGGGGCTAATAGTGAGTCTGAATAAAAGGGGGAAAGTAAGGGATGGGAGGATCAAGCGTGGTTACTTGGAAAGCTAAAGACAGATGACTTTGTATGAAAGTTGAAGCATGAATCAATGATAAAAGAGCAGAAAGTGCATTTAATTAACTGTAAACAGGCAGGATTGTCTGACTTGAAATTATGGTCATAACCTTCAGCAACCGCCTACCTCAGGAGATATGATAGGTTACCTGAGGATGAGAGACTATGCTATGTGTGAACATATAATTGGGTGCATATGGAGTCATAGTTAGGGAGAAGTCTTGACTCAGCACTAAGGGAAGAAAGGTGTTCTTGGGTTTATGAGGCTTTGTATGTTTTTTCAGAAGTTAAGCTATTGTGTCATGATGCCTAGTTACAGCTCTTTATCATGCTGGGTCATGTATTTTGGATAAATGGTTAGACAATTCAAGCTAAGTGACTACCATTCCAGATAGAAGCATGAGATCAAAAAGTCCCTGAAGGGAAGTGTCTTGGAACAAAAAACGACATGATAGAGCACTTGAAGAGCAAACAAACAACAGCAACACTTGTTTCCCCAGCATGTGGATATTATAAAGAGCAAGAGTAAAGAAAAAACAAAAGCAATTAGAACCCCAGGAAAAACAAAAAGCTTCATGAGGAAGTGGAGATGCAACGTGAGAGGTTTGGGGTGTAGGAAAAGAATAAATGAAACAAGATGGGATCAGGAGGGAGACAAACCATAAGAGACTCTTAATCTCACAAAACAAACTGAGGGTTGCCGGGGGGTGGGCAGGTTACAGACATTGGGAGGGTATGTGCTATGGTGAGTGCTGTGAAGTGTGTAAACCTGGTGATTCACAGACCTGTGAATAATAATACATTATATGTTTATAATCATATAGTAATAATACATTATATGTTTTATAATGGGGCTAATAATACATTATATGTTTATAATCAAATTTAAAAATTATTAAAAAATTTTAAAAATTAAAAAAATAAAGAGAAAATTCAAACAAATACAATACCTCATCCTTCAGCAACATTATTTACATATTCATAATATTATAAATACTGATTACTGTATAACCAAAGATTATGAAAATAATACTGAAAGATAGGCAATGTGTCAGGTGGTATTGAGGAGTTAAGTCATCAGGTGTCATATAGGAACATTGATATGTTATCTAAAATTGGTGTTTTAAGCCAATTGAGTTATAACAGAAGACATGCGTTATATGGTGATAACTACAAGAAGAAATGAAAACCAAAAGAGAATGAAACCATGCTTAGGTCTTTCCTGGTGGCTCCCTTTTCCCAAGTCAGCCATGGATGTACCTCCAGGACTAAGAAGAGAGTGGGAAGCCAGGCTCTGGAGACAAGAGGAATGCAGGCATCCCTCCCTCTTCGGGAAGGGCACAACTTCTGATCTCTAACCACGGACTGGAGTAGGAGGGGGGCAGGAGACTGGCCAGGGGAAGGGCTACAGGGGAGGACTAGAGCTGGGGTGCTGGGGGCTGGCCAGAGGTAGGGAGGGTCTCACTTACGTGCACACACTCCTATTGCGTACCTCGGGCGGTCCCCACTGTAATCGCAGTAGAGGCCCCGGTGGGGGTCACAGATGGCTGCCTCTGTGCAGTTGTCCCCGAGCTGCTGAGCACACATTTTACAGCATTCACAACCATCTGTGATGAGGCTGACCCCCAGCGGGCAGCGGGGGGGTGACGGTGGGCACTCACACGGCCACTTGCAGAATTGGGGGCGTGAAGCTGTGTCCTCCAGTGGCACTGGGGTGAAAGCCATGGCCGTGGAGCCTGGAGAGAAGGCCTGTGGGGGAACAGCAGAGATAAAGGACTGCCAGGCAGGGGTATCAAAGCCCAAAGGGCCAGCAATCACCTTCTCATCTTCCTGGTGTTAAAAGGCTTGTATACAATTATGTTTCTTCTACCATGTTTTTAATAGCCAGAAATCTCCTTTCTCTTCAGTAAAACAAATAGGAGCAAGGAGCCAGGAGGTTGGAGAAGTCAAGCCAATTTTCCCCAGTCCCCCTACTGGAGGTTGTGGGGCCCCGATTTTATGTCAGAACTCTGGCCACGCTAAGCCTCATGTGTGTTTCCTTCCATCCTCAAGCATCCCACAACCTGGGTCGGTGTCAAGTTGGTCTCATTTCACAGATGAGGGAGTTGAGGCTTTGAGCAGCAAATGCCTTCTCATGAGTCCCACTGTGACCTGTTCTGTACCTATTGCCTTTCCTCCACAGCCCAAAGAGCCACCTTCTTGATACCACTGTGCGTCCTTGGGAACTTGCAGAGCCAGGTGACTCATACTTGACAGCAGGTTTTAGCCAGATGACCTATTATTATTATAATTAGTTGCCCTCTGAGCCCCATTAAAGGCTATGGGTGGGTGGCAACCAGTGACCCCTGCAGCTGGCCCTCTCAGCCCCTCTAGAGGGAAATTCGGCCCCTGTTGCTTGTGCCAGGTCTGCGGACAGGAGTCCCCCAGCCCACGCACCTCCCATGGCCCCATTCCCATCCCCATCCCCCAGGTTTGTCGTCATCCTGAAAATATGATGGACGCAACACTGGGAAGCTGGGAGGAGGGGAGATAGGCCCACAGAGTCGTCCCTGCTGGGAAGAACGAGTAGATAGAACGCAAGGCTGCTCTGGGGTATCTTTGAGTTTAGGAGGTTCAAGCTGCCTGTATCTCTGGGAGCCAGTCACCTTCCCATGCCCTCTGGGTGCTGCCCTGAACCCCTATCCTGCCCCTTGCTCTTTACACTGGAGGAAGCAGAGGCCCTAGGAGAAAGGGACTTGTCTGAGGACAGAGTGTATAGCCGGGTCTCAGCCATTCTCTCCTTCCCAGGCCAGTGTGGTCCCCGCCAGGGAGCATCCCATCCAGGGCTTCTCAGATGTGCTCCGGAATTCCAAGGTCAGCAGGGGTAGGGACCAGGGTTTCTGCAAGCGGCCAAGGTGGAGCCACAGCACCCTCCCCACCCTGACCTCAAACCCGAGAAACCCTGCTCAGTGGAGCTTAGAGATCTGCCTTCCATTCTTGGAATGACACATGCGGACATATACAGATTCTTCTTCCCTTTTCCCGAGGAGGGAACTGAGACCCAGAGAGGCGGAGGGACACAGCCAGAATGACACAGTGTGGGTCAGGACCTAGGCACAAACGACTCTTGTAACTCTCATTTCTACACCCTTTGCCTTTGCCCTCTGGGTTTTTAGAGTCGCACAGCAGATGTTTGCTGAGCTAGCCCATAGCCTCTCGAGAACTTTAGGTGTTTGAAGATGAATTTAAAAATTCTCTCAGAAAAAAAAAAATTAAAAAAATAAAAATTCTCACAGTTTGGAGAACCCACAGCTTTTGGGAGAGATGGACATGAGAGGTGGTTTATTAGAGTGCAAAGCTGTATGCAGAGCGCTGGGCGTCCCGGGGGGAGCCCCAGGAGCTCCCTGAAGGTCAGGGCAAGAGTCGCTCTGTCCAGGGGAGTGAAGCCCACCCTTGCACACTTGGCCAGGAGCGATGATCCCGGTCGAGAGGTTGGATTCACTGGGCTCTTGGTTAGGGGCTTTGTATGTAAGCCTTTTCTCTGTAAATATTGATTGAACCTTTGAAAATCCAACCGGCAAACCTTGATTTGAGGCTTCTGTCACCTCTGGGCTTGGTTTCAGGGCTCAGTGGTGCCCACTCCTTTCCCACCGCAGGACCTCAGCCCTGAGTTCCCTGTGACCAGAATGTCCTTCCCGCTTCCCTTCACTGGGGCACTGGCACTCAGGCCCCACCGTAAGGGCCTCCCGCAGAGAGCACGCTCCTGGCCTGCTGACCACACTTGGTAGTCAGACTTGTGTGTGTTCCGGGTGACTAAGCCAGCCCATGGGGAGGAGGGCAGAGCAGGGCCCTCCACAGGGGACCTGGCCAACAGCAAGGCACCGTAGGGAGGCTGCGGCTGTCTGCCATCCATTTCTCTAGATGCCATGGAACCTCTCCCTTCCTTCCCTCATTATCTTCTCTTTACTGGGGGCTTCTCTGCTAGGCCAGAAACAGAGACCCAGAACAGCCAGGAGAATCATGCCTGTGGCCACTTCCCTCCTCCATGGGTGATGTGGCTTGGCAAGGCCTTGCTGGCCGGGCTCCAAGAACTCTAGGAGGTCGGCAGTGCTGGTTCCCATTCACCAGGCGATCCTCTTCCCTGCCCTGCTATTCCTTAGGAATGCAACGAGACACAACAAAACCTCAAACTTCCTCATCAATAAATCAGCCAGATGTGCACACATGCACGCGCACGCATGCGCGCACACACACACACACACCCACCCCTCTCTTTCTGAATCCGTAGAGAGAATTCTCCTCATCATTCCGTGACCCTAGAAGGTTCAGAGGTTCGTAAGCACCCGTAAACTGTCTCCGACCAGTCCCCAGGCCCATAATATATACATATACTCTTGGCAGGGGAAATTTTAAAAAGCCTTTTCCTCCAGGAAGCCTTCCATGCCTTCCCCAGGTGGTGTTAGAGGGGGTCCCTTCCCACTAGATAGTGAACTGTAAAGGCCTTAGCGCTGTCTGTGGGCCTGAAACACAGCCCATGGCCCACGGCAGGACTGTGGAAGTGTTGCCTAGTGGAATGGGCCATGGGGGATTGTTGATTACAAGGGGCTTTGGTGTCCTTTCATACTCAGGACCTCTGGTCCTGGAACCTTGCCTCTCAGCTTGGATTACATTTGAGTGTCTAAAAAAGAACATGGGACCTGAGTGTGTTCCTTCTGTGTGGCCCCGGACAAGCTTCCTAACCTTTCTAGGCCTTGACATCCCCATCTGTGATCCAGCCACAATAATTTCACCCTCTGGGAGCTATGGGGAAGGGGTGCAGCCCTGTGTATGCAGAAGACTAGCAGGGCCTGGCACATGGCAGGCAATCAAAAGCATGACATCTCCCTTGCATTTCTTTGTTGGGGATCCTCTCGCACCCCCATAAGGCTTAGCGTGGGGCTTGCGGGTTTAGGTCCTTTGAACTGAGCTGGGATGGGCTGTCATCTGGCAGATACCCTTCTCCCATGGCCGCCGTCTATCCCAGGGTCTCCAAGGTAAAGCTCCCCAGAAGGAAGCCTCCTTTCCAATACCTGCCTGAGCCCTAGAGCACACAACTCCTTAGGGGAAGCCGCTTAGGGGAGCTGGGACATTGAGGGATGGGCTCTGGGCCTTCAGCTTAGCCCTGCTCTAGCTTTTGGTGCCATCTGCTGGTGGGAAGCCTTCTTGACCTCTGTCCAGGGAAGAAGGTAGGGGGAGAGCGTGGGTGGGGGGGACTGAGAACTCCTGGGTTTGATGTGAGACCCTTGAATCCTTGCTGTCTTGTCTGGCCTTGACACCACAAAGGATGTGACTGCGGATTCCTCCTGATGATGAATTTTCTCTATGTGTGCACACAGGGAAGCCGAGGGGTGCCATGTGCTTCCTGCCCTCAAGGGTAGATGGTTTCGTTGGGGAAATGTGCTCGACTCTTTCATGCATTCTATGGACAGATACTTAATGAACACCAACCATGTGCCCGGCTTTGTGCAAGGCTTGAAGGAAGCAAGGCTGCATGGGACACAGCCCATCGGCTTCCTAGTCAACCACCCCTTGAGGCCAAGAGATGTGAGCACGGTAATTGTAATTCAGTATGATCAAAGCTGTAATGATGGCACCACACACCCCTGCCCACCCCCCTTATTCGCTGGGTCACCAACACACCTCTGGTCAGCTCTCCCTTTGTCCAACTGCTGCACTCAGTGCTGGGCAGACAGCGGAGGATACCACGGGGACACAAAGCTGACCTGCCTGTGTGAGCACTTAGGAGGGTTGGCCATGTCTGCTGGGACTAGAGGGGGCTTTTTGGGGGGTGGCGGTGAGGTGTGGGAAGAATAGCAAAGGGCAAGCAGGAACGTTGCAGCAAGGAAGGGCACCGAAGCAGATGCAAAGGCCATGTGCAGGGCATGTGTCTGGGACAGGGGGAGAATTGCAGTGAGCTGGGGCAGACAAGAGGTACAAGGAGATGGAGGCTGGACTAGATCACAATGAGGTCATTGTCAAATAGATCAAGGAGGGCTCTAAATGCCTGGCTAAGGTCTCGGGCTTTTGGCTGGATTCTGCCGCCATCCTTCGTTGAAGGATTTTGGCAGAATGATCAGGACAGATTTGTGTTTTAGAAACATCACACTGTGTCAAGCCTAGTCTTTGCAACGTACTGTCCAAGTGACTCTGGGAGTTCACTTTCTGAGCCTTGGTTTTCTCTGCTGTTCCTGCTAGATACACCCACCAAGTTTCTGGGAGCAAGTACCAAATGAGATCATGGCTATGGCCTCCAACTTGTCCTAGCCATTCCATCCGCAATTCCATTGCAGACCTTAGCTCTGGTGACCGCTAGGGGCCAATCTTGAGCTAGATTTCAGTTTCTGTGGCTGTTCTTTTGTCTTCCCCACAGTGGTTGGTATCATGAGCTCCAGTGTATAGATCAGCAAAGTGACTTGTTCATGGCCAACAGGTAGTAAGTGACAGAATTTGGGATTAAACTCAAGTATGCTGACTTCATGCTTTTCCCACTACTGTACATGAAGGAGAATTTTCTAATGGAAGAAATCAGTGGTAAGGTAGTGAGCACATCATCAGTGGAGGTAATCAAGAAGTAGCATCATCTGGGCTGGGGGATGCAGAGGAGTTTCAGGTCTCACAAACCCTGTTACATAGTAGGTGTCAACAAGCATTTGTGAATAGAATGGATGAGTCAATGTACATTTTCCCCCGATGCTGTCCTCCCTTGAGGGCAGAAACCATATGCCATCCAT